GTTCATTTTCATTTAAATAATTATTTTTTAATTTAAGTAATTATTGATGGATATATACTTATTGCCATTGTATCGTCTTCTGACTGTTCGTTTCTTCCTTTCTTGCTCTCTTCCTTTGTGTTCATGATTTTCTGTAGTGGTGGCGCACTTAGGATACTTCTCTTTCTCTTTCTCCTTGTCCTTCGTGCGCCTACTGTAGGTCTTCGCTTTGTGGTTACATGAGGCTTACATTAAAAAGGTATTTTTTAAAAACATGTTTATGACGGTCCATCTTAAGTTCACAGCTTCCATCTTAAGTTGACAGCTTAAGTTGGACCACATTCTAAAGCTCTACATTTTTCTCTCCCCACCCCTTGTTTAATGTTCTGTTGTCCCATTTTACAGCTTATTTTGTTTATCGATTAACAAATTAGTACTTATTTTTACTACATTTATCTTTTAACCTTCATACTAACTTTATGTGATTAAGTCATCCTCTTAACAACATCAGGTTATTCTGAATTTTACCCTGTGTTTACCTTTACCAGTGAGATTTGTGTTGTCAGAAGTCTCCTGTGACGAATCAGCACCCTTTCATTGCAGCCTAAAGCCACCCCTTTAACATTTCCCGTGATGCCAGTCTGGCGGTGATGGAGTCCTTTAGCTTTTGTTGGAAACCTTCTAACTTCTCTTTTAGTTATGAAGAACAGCTTTCCCCGGTACAGCATGTTTGATTGGGAATCTCCTCCAGCATTTTGAATATATTGGGCCGTGCTCTTCTGCCCTGAAACATGTCCACTGAAAACCTGCTAGAATTCTAATGGGGGTTCCAGGCATGTAACAAGTTGTTTTTATTCTACTGCTTTTGAGGTTCTTTGTCATTAACTTTAGGCGCTTCAATTATATAATGCGTCTTGTCGTGGGCCTCTTGAGGCTTATCTTAGTTGGAACTCTCTGGGCTTGTGGATCTGTTTTCTTCTCAAGTTATGGAAGTTGGTTGTCATTTCTGCTTCCTTCTCTCTCTGTTCGCCTCCTGGGACCTCTGTACTGCGAATAATGGTCTATCTGATGGTGTTCCAGAAGCCCCTCGAGCTATCTTCACTCTTTATGCTTTATTATTTTGGCTGCTCTGATTGGGTGAGTTCCACGGCCCATGTTTAAGTGCACTGGTCTGTCCACGGCTCCAGTTAGTCTGCTGCTGACTCCTCCGGCGTGGTCGCCAGTCCGCTCACTGTGCCCTTGAGCTCCGTGGCCTGTGTTTGGTGCTTTCTTACATTTCCTGTCTCTGTAGACATTCTCACTTTGTTCATCATTCACTTGTTCCCCTGAGCTTGATGAGCACCTTTATGATCATTATTTTGAATTCTTTATCAGGAAATCACTTACCGGCCTTTTATTAACTCCTTGTTTCTAAGTATTATTTTGTTCTTTCACTCGGGCCATACTCCTCTGTTTCTTCATTCTGCTTGACTCTGTGTGTTGGTCTCTGTGCCTCAGATAAAACAGCGCCTCTCCCCCTCCAGGAGTTTCCTCATGTAGGAGATGAGCCTTACCACCCAACCCCACCCGAGCTCCTGGTTGTCTCTCAAAACCTTGCGTCTGCCCAAGCAGCCTGCTTTATTCTTCATGGCTCCCAGTAGGTGAGGGTGTGCCAACAGCTGCTAGTGCCCCTCAAGGCTGGGGCAGGGGGTGGGCGGCGGGATCTTAGTCAGCACCTGGATGCAGGTTGATTGGAAGCCAGGTCCTCAGGCAGCTGCGTTGAGAGCATGCACATACACCTTTTTCGGGGGAGGACTGTGACACGGGCATTGCCGTCTGCTTCCTCTGCACTCGGTGCTGGGGTGACAGCCAGTCCACTGTCCCTTCCTGCTGGATCTGTGAACACAAGCCCCGCTAGCCACCGGAACCAGACTGTTAGGGATGAGTCTGCTGGGCTGCTAGTCCGTGGCTACTAGCCATGAAAGCTGAAGTGCTGTCTGGAGACATACACAGCCTGAGGCAGGGAGGGAGAGGGTGCCAAGATGCCTCTCCCCCCATTTCTGGAGAGAATTGCAGTTGGCCGCTGGAAGAGTTTGAATTAGAAGCCTGCCCCCAGGCCACAGCTGTGAGGAGAAACGAACGGGCCTCTTTCGTAGACTAGGGGGAGTTTCAGTCTGCTGCCTCCGCACTGCAGTGCGTGTGTCCTGGTGGCGGCAGCCGGTCACGAACTGTGTCTCTGTTTGTTCCAGTGCTGTGGAACCCGTTAGCAGAATTGCAAAACCCAGGGCACCAGCAGGTACCAAAGTTCCTTTTTAGGAGGTGCTGGGGACTGGCAGCGAGGCCGAGGGAGGGTATGAGGATGGTGCTCACTCTGAGATGTCTGGACAGGACTGTAGTGGTCCCGTAGATAAGGCCTGTCCCTCTGGCTGCAGCCGGGAAGATACACAAATAGGCCTTTTTCATAGAAAGACTGAGGGTGTGTCTCAGTCTTCTGTCCCCTGGAGGTGCTAGTTAAGAATTGTCGTTCTGTAACAGTGTGGGACCCATGACTGGAAGCCCTGCTGGCCACCTGAGCCAGTGGGGAAAGCGTTGTCGCCTACGCGGCACTCAACCTGGGTCACTAGAGGAGTGCACACGCTCCTCTCTGCAAGGCAGCAGCAGCCGAGAGCGGAGGGAGAGCCGGAAGACAGTGCCCACTGAGTTCTCTGGAAAGGGTTACCGTCGGCCCTCAGAGGTGCGATGCATTAGCAGCCTGCCCCTCGGTGCAGATGAGCCCTTAGGTCTCTCACACTGAAAGAATGGGCATTTCAGTCTGTTGGCTTCTCTGGGATTAGGGACGCTTTTCTTCGCTCGTTACACTCCCGTGGGACCTGGAGCATGAGCCCCAGGCCACTACAGCTATGTGATAAGGGGTGTTCCCCAGGTGGCAGCCACAAAATCAGGGTGCCAGACCAAGCACGCAGGCTCCTTTCTGGAAGATACCCGTGACCTGGGATAAGGTGGAGGGAGAGAGGGCGAAAATGGCACCAGGTGGTCTCTGTCTTTGAAGAGTATTTCAGTAGGTCCTAGAGGTGTGTTGAATTATGGCCCACCAGCTTCGAGATAAGCACAACGGCCTCTTCCACACAAAGTGAGCACTTTTCAGTTGGCTACCTAGGTGCTGGGCCCCGGGGCAGGGGAGTCCGCTGGAGCCCGCGCCCTGCCAGAACTGTTTCTCAGGTCGCTCTGGGCTCGCGGGCCTCCTGGATGCAACCCCACTGGCTTTCAGAGCAAGGTATTTGGGGGACTCCTCCCTCAGGGAGGAGCCAGGAGTTGTGCATTCCCTCCTTGATTGTGGGCCATCACACCAGGGTTGGGGGTTCACAGTGATTGCACTGCAGCCTCTCCTCCCATTTTGTTGTGGGGTTTTTCTTCATTGGCCCAATGTGTAGGGGTTGCTCGTTTTGGGTTTCTTTCTGGGGAAATTGTTCTGTGTGTAGTTGGAGGTTAGGTGTGGCCGTGGGGAAGACCTGAGATCAGGGTCCTGTAATGTCACCATCTTGAGCCAGAACACTCCTGACTCACTTTTGATTGATGGTACTTATAGGTATAGGACCTGGAGGCTTTATCAAGCTCATTTAATTAATGGGGGGGGTAATAAATATCCTCTCCTCCCTGTTGTATCACCTCTGGTTGTCATCTTGAGTGATGAGTGAATTTAGGTATTGCTACCTTGGTTCATCATTATAAAACTCCCAATTTGCTCAGATTTGTGATTTCATTAGTTGTGAAATGGTTTGCTTTGATCATTTCTTCTGTACTAATTCCCTGGAATTACTCTATAGAGTTTTTCCTCAGTGTGTTATCAGACAGGGGCCTGGCCCTGAGGTCAGCTGCAGTGTGTGGCTTCTGGACTGTAGATTTCACATGAGTTTGAAGACCATGAGAAGCGTTTATTAAGGTTGGGGGATGGCAGGACAAGGAAGGGCTTAGCATAGAAGAAGCAACAGGAGAGCCTGGGCTGGGCTGCTTTGACTCACTGGGAGGTCAGAAAAGGGGGCCTTGGGGACAGGTTCAGGGGATCAGGACAGGCTGCCGGCTGCCTTAGAGTTTAGGAGACACGTGCCTCTGGGGGAACAAGTGGGGAAGATGAGGGCTCTTGAGGCTTTTCTCTGTCTCGTGCAGGCGAGAATCTTAGGGAAGGTCTCAGGAGGGTCTCCGTAGAATATTCATCAGCTCTCCAGGTGAGCTTTTAGGGTCCTGACCTCCACTGGTTGGTCAGAGGCAGGGCAGGGGGTCTTTAGTCGTTACAGTTGGTTCTGGTGACGCCCGCCTGGTTTTGCTGCTTTTCTGGACCTGGAGCTGAAACACAACTGAGGCCTAGATGCTGTCTCCAGGGAGGTGACCACGACAGGTTGTGAAGTGCTCAGCCATTGCGTCCAGCTCTCTGCCTCAGTTTCCCTATTCCACTCGCCAAGAAATTTTCCTCGCTCTTTACTGTCCTGTCTCTCAGGTCATCCTGAAGTGCAGTTCACACTGATAGGACGATTGCTTCTCTCCTTTAGCAGTTTCTATTGCTTAAAAAGTTTTAACATTCTTTTATGGCTTGAAAAAGGTCTCAGATAACTGTACATGGTGTTTCTTCCCATAAATACCTCACAAACTTAGAACACTTGCTAATTTTGACAGCAGATTCCCAAGTGCCAAGCAAGCATGCGACGGCTCCCCCGATGCGCTAACACTGCTCATGGTGGGGAACGAAGACCTGGGCGCCCAGCGGACTGACAGGTCTGGGCTCACGGGGGTTCAGGGCCGTCGGCCGGGATCCACACACTGCGGCCCACTGCACGCTTTGGTCTCAAGTCCTGTGTGTCTGAACATCTTTTAAAAAAATCTTCACTTGAGGGTATTTTTTGGTTTTATAGAGACGAAGGGAGAGTGAGAAAAAGAGAAAGGCAACCATCGATTGGTTGCCCCTCTTGTGCACCCCAACCAGGGACCAAACCCACAATCTTTTGGTGTCTGGGATGACGCTCCAACTAACTGAGCCACCCAGCCAGGGCCAAACTTTTAAAAAATGAAAGTTTATTGAGATAATTGTAAATTAGCATACAGTCTTAGAAATACAGTGACCCCATCCAGTTTCCCCAGCTGTAACCTCTTGTGAACCCACACGGCACACGACAGCCAGGACGCCGACATCCCCGAGGTCCCGATACAGCAAGTCGGGGCCTCTCCCTGCGCGCTGGATATGCAGCCCCACTCACAAACTGTTCAGTGAAGCCACTTCTATCTTCAAGTTTATATAAAAAAGCAAGCTACCAACAGTTCCATCACAAGAGTCCCTCATAGTTTTATAGGCACACCAGCCCCATGCAGCTCATTTTGAATGCTGCTGCCATGGTCTGTTCAGGCTGCATGTACCTTATGCCCAACACGGAGCAAGGCCTGGCCCTGGGGTGGGGGTGGGGGGCTTGAGGGCAGGCCAGGCCTCCTGCCCAGGCGCTGAGGGGCTGGCCGAGTCTGCACGGGGCTACCCTGCTCTTCCTGCATTTACTTTTTCCTACTTTAATTTTTTATGTTCAACTAGTTAGTTTCAGGTGTACAACCCAGTGATTAGACACATAGCTTACTAAGTGACCACCCAGATGAATCTAGTACCCACCTGACATCATAGTTCTTACAGTATCGACTGTATTTCCTATACCATACTGTATATCCCTGTGACTATTCTGGAACTACCAACTTGTACATTTTAATCCCTTCACCTTTTTCACCCATTCCCCCACCGCCAGGCCCCCAGTATGGGGTGTGCAGGAAGCAGCCACACATTGGTGTTTCTCACCTTTCCCCACTCTCTAAAAGTAAATAAGTAAAATCTCTAAAAAAAAAAAAGTCCTGGCCAAGAAAGCTTAAAATGCTTAGTATCTGAGAAAAAGTTCGCCAAACTCTGATATGATACAGTATGTATTAAAGCACCTCTGGGTGAAGGCTGGAGGGGAAGTCTCAGATCTGAATTCTAAAACTGAGCTCTATCCTAAAAATGCACACATACAAAATCGTGCCCGAGTCCATATCCAGGTGTTATGGCCCTGGGTTGACCTTTGCACTACGACATGGTATGAACCTGTTGAGCTGCCGTAAAACACCAGACTGGGCGGCTTAAACAACAGTAACGCCCCACAGTTCTGGAGGCTAGAGGGCAAGGTACTGGCTGGGTGGTGTCTTTCTTCAAGGCCCTGTGACCTAACACAGTCACACTGGGAGTCAGGACTTCAACGTGTGTGTTAGGGAAGGGAGGAGACACACTATGCAGCCCGTGACACCATAAATACACTGAAGACCCCACCTCTTTGACACTTGAGAGCACGTGGTCCGAGTCATGTGTTCCTGAATCCCCGGCAGCACCTCACAGGCTGAGGCGTCACCCTTTGTTGAGTTAATGAGTGTCGGTGAGCTTAGACTACAGTGTAAAGAAATTCATGGAGGAATATAAAGTGCTAATGTATCACAGGTTAAAATACTATAGCAATTCTGAGGAGAAACTAGGAGTTAGGATAATCAAAGGAAGTCTTTTTTTCCCTCTCCTTTTTAAATGAGAGAACTATCTACCCTTGAAATGATTTGCATGCAGGAAGGCCTTGCTGGCATCAGGGTTTTTCCAGCCCCAGTCGAGGGCAGAATCGGGATGGTCCATGCAGGGTGCGGACGGATTCTGGACTCAGAGGAGCTGAGATCATGAGCCTTCAAACTGTAAACTGTGTGTCAATAAGACAAGCTGGGAAAATGGTAATTTTAGCAGGAAATGATACATTAGGTAATTTTATTTTGGATAGAAAAAGGATAACATTTATCAGTGTGTTCATCAAGAAGTTTTGAGGAGTGTTAACTACGTCAAAGAATTTTTAATTGGTGAGATTCATGGAAATGTACTGCAAACTGTCTGTGAAATGACCCCGCTGACACTAAATGGCTCTGATGAAACCAGGCCCACGAGGGTTTCTGTTGGGCAAAGCTGTGCAGGAATCTGTACTGTCCTAAACTGTGAATTAGCTCAAACCTAAATGCATTCAGGAGCCAATTCTTTACTGCCCACCTGAGGAGATTTTATATAAATATACGTACATGCTAAAAGAACAAATGAGGGAGAAAGATCCACCAGTTGCCTCCTGTACATGCCTAGACCAGGGCAAGGGGCCAACTCTTGAGCAGCAGGGAGAACCCTACTCTTTCCAGGATTTCTGTCTAGGTCAGTGATTTGCAGCCAGTGTGTTGTAGGACTTTTAAACACCTATTTAACACCAGGGACACCAACCTCTTTTCCTCAGATTTGGGGGGCGGGGGAGGGAAGACACCAGCCAACATAAAAGATGTCCAATGTGAACAAATTAAAATTATGTATTTTTTTGGTCAGTGGAAAAAATTTTTTGTGTGCCGCAGTTTTAGTAATTAGTTTATGTGTGCCATGAGATGAAAGAGGTTGAAAATCACTGGCCTAGGATAAGAACCTGGATCCTTCACTGTCTGAATATGCCTTTCAAAGGAAGAGTTATTGGAATTGAACAAATTACGGTTCTGATTTTGACCTGTGCCTTAAACACAAGGAGGTAGCTGTATACTTGGGAGCCTATGGCAATGCACGCAGTAGCTGGTAATAAAGGCCGATGCAACTTTGTGGTTCTAATAAGGTTTGTGTTAACCCAATCGAACAATATTCTAAGTAAGTAAATAAAAAACACCAGAAACATAACTAGCAACATTTGCCTGTTAAGTAGTTTTACAATTGTTGCTTCAACAAGAGAATGAATGCCAGAACACTTTTCAAGAACTTACCTACCTTAAAACTAGTCTGAGTCACTACTTTTATTCTTTATTGTCTTTATTCCCCAAGTCTGGCACCCAGACCTAGCACACATCATGGAGGTCTGTACACATACACATACACATATACACGCACGTTTTAAGTTTAAAGCCTCAGTCTTCGTTAAACCCTGTGCTCAGGCTCCTGTTAAAAAGAGGTAAACTGGTGAGAAGTTAAAAATCAGGGAAAACATAAATAAATTCCAATTGACAGCTTCCTTGTTCTGAATTAAAGCACACATTTTAAGGCAAAATCCATCACCTTGCTAATAAAACTCCCACTAAGTGCTAGCCTCAGATATTTACAAGAGAATACATACATACAAAGCCTCCTGCACACGTCAGGCAGTCTAACAGCAAGTCAGCCAAGGGGCTGTTTCTTCTTCCAGGTAGCTCTCCATTCAGGGACAGTTAATATTTCACTGATTAAAATTTCAGGTGTTAAAAAAAACTAACTTCAAGCAGAGTCATCATTATACTCTGAAGCTAAATTCTTCAAGTACTTGTCTCTACATTATTACACAAATCCATCACAGTAAGAGGCTATTAGTTTAAAAACATCTACTGTTTGGTAACTCGGAGTAGATCTGATTAGTGCACTCTAGGTCGTTTGGTATTATTTTTCTCTGTGGGAGCTTTTCTCTTTTGTGACAATCCAGACCCAGGCTCCTTATTATTCTGAAGAAATGAAACAGCTTCTGGTAGACAGTAATTTTCTACTCGAGGAGGGGTTTCCTATGGAAGAGGGAAAAAAATCTTACATTATTCATTTTTTCAGATTTCAAACTGTTAAATGATCAGCCAATATATTCCTTTACTCTTTTTGACCACAGGAACTTTAAAAGGAAAATGTAAATTCATTCCTTGGTCCCTGCAAAGAAAACACCTGTCTTTTAAGGCATGCCTTTTGTCACCTGTCACCCTCGGTGACCAGGCCCTGTGTGACAATTTAGCTCCTATCAGAAAAAGGAGCTCAGGCAGACCAGGGCTGGCTCAGACCTTAACAATGGTTTTATCTGTAAAATACGGGTTTAATAAAGAATACAGAAAATGCGAAAAAATACAGTTATCGAGTGCGAGCAGTATATGCTTATTAAATTTTTGAAAAAAACTTTTTACTGAATTTTTACTTGATCTTTAAACACGCAAGAGGTGTTTTTCCCCATTTAGATAGAATAAAAAGGTTAAGTAACACAATGTTACACACAACTACCCAGGTGCAAAGCCAAAATTCACATCCTCCTCTAACTCCAAAGCCCGCACGTCTCCCCCAGAGAACAGACGGCCACGACAGCACCGCACACTCCTCCAGGCCCCTGTCCCCGACACACATTCTAACCCTGAGAAGGGAGCGAAAGGCAGAGAGCGATCACTTCTGGGGTCGAGAAGGAAGATACAACTGGGGAGGTGCCACAGGAAATGCCTCTGGGTGTCACATGCTTCTGTTTCTTGACCCGGGCACCCAGAAGACATTTTGCTGTTCTTTAACCAGAACATATGTTTTATGTTCTTATACGTAAGAAAAAAAGTGACACGAGCATGCGAGTACAGAACGCTGTGCCCAGCACAACACAGGCAATTGCTGACAACCAGTTTTTACCTTGGGCGGCAGCTGTACACCTGAGACGATCAGGAATGGCGGGCAGATTTAGCGCGCCCCACTGCGCTATGACAGAGCCTTCACATTTATGTTGTAGGCATTCTTTCCTTTAAACCCAGAACAACTCCCCAACACAAGCAGCAAAAACCACGCAGACAGGCTGAGCTCTCGCTTCCCTGTGTTTCTGCCATTCTGTTCAAAAGCTTTCACAGTAAAGACGTTCATGATCATGTGTTATACCCTGCTTATTCCGGATGGCCTGTTAGGCACTCTGGAGTCAGAAGACATTTCCTTGCCCATTCAAATCGTACAACATGGGCCACGCACTACACAAGTGTGGTGAGCTCCATATAGGAAATGCTTGATTTATCTTAGCATCTACCACCCGGGTTCACTATGTATCAATGCAAATGGGCAAGAAAACTAAAGAAGAACCCCTGGGTAAATGGTTCTCCTTGGACTCTTAGAATCTATTTCTGCTTTCTTCATATTCCACCATCTAAAATGAGGCACCTAGATTTTTATACCTAGCTCATATTTAAATGTTTACAAGCTAAATATGTTTAAATATGTGTTATTTTAAAAAAGGAACTGAAAGGGGTTAAAGAGTGTCACAGGAGACCAACACGGTATCAGTAACCAGCTGAGGGTTCTGGTGTGCAGTCACTGCTCCATGCACATCAGCAGATCTTGGCAATGAGGAATTCAAGGAGAGAATCTTACAAACCTGCGTAAGGTAATCAGCAATGTATTCTGTTTTCAAGCAGTACACATTCTGGGCAACAGCTTCTGCTATATTAACTCCTGTGTCATCAGGTTTCAGTTTATTTCCGTCAGAAAAGAGGTGAGTGGCTTCTTTCAATAAAGGCACAGAATGACCAGGTAGCACCTAATAAAAAAGCGAGCAGCATCATGGTGTGTCAGCATCTCAAAGTAACTCCACTGTACAATCTGTAAATAAGGATTACTATCTCACAAAGTACAGACGATCAGAACCAGATCGCAGCAACCTTGGTTAGAGAATAATCCACGTCAAAAACTCAGTAAGTAGATGCAACACAAACCTTAGCTCCTCCGGACTGAAGCAGACGTTTGAATCCTGCTTCTCGGGACGGATTAGCAACATGTAAAATAACCTTCCACCCGCTAAATGCTCCCTAAAAAAAAAAAAAAATTGTGAAATTACTTGGAAGATAAATGACAGAACAACACAGATAACATTTATATCTGTAAATGTAGCTTCGTGTCAATAAATAATCTTTACTTCTGCCACAATGGCAGTCACCTCTGGTCAGGATACTTCGAAGCACGTAGCATGTCTGGCACACAGTACGTAAATACTTAATGAAGGAAAATAATTTAATGAATAGGCAAATCGAACAACAGGTTGCTTTGTTTTAGTCATTTCTAGTATTTTTTTCTTACAGTTAATCAAGGGTAGAGCCTAAAGCACAGCTTTTTAGATTAGATGAAGTCTCCTTTATATTTTTCTTGAAAATACTTGCAAGCTGAAACCTATAGGGGAACTGCTCTAAAGGGAAGGGAGTCAAGGCTAATGAGGACGCAGAGCAGCCGAGAGCTCAGAACACAGCCAAGATTGTGGGGTTTCTGTGAGCCATGGGCCTCTTTACAGTCTGGGGAAACCTACGGACCTGTTCTCTGAATTTTGTTTTAAAAAGATATGTTGTTTGTTGTGTAATTTCTATACCATATAAAGAGGCTTTAAATGTTCAAAATAAAATATAAAGGATTACATAGAAAATAATTTTACTGAAAACTATAAAATTGTTTAAAATATAATAGATGTGCTTGAAAAGGAGCAGCGAGTCGAATAATTACTATAATTTTTAAGTAGTAAACGTAAACACTTCAAGATATAATCATAATGCAAAGCAAAAATATTTTTTCTCTTGGGGCAAAGTCACAGTAACACTACTAATAGTGTTATGATTTGTTGCCTAGACTTATAATTAGAGGAAATGCTAACTTTTAATAGATGAGGAAGAAATGCATCCTTATTTTTACTAATCTGAAGTGTGAAGACTAGACTCAGGAAGGCTCTAAACTTCTTTGTGAGCGTCTGTGGGCCCCAGGTGAAGAGCCCCTGAAGCTAGATGCTGAGAGGGTTCTTTGGGAGAAATACACCGCGGGTCACCTCTACATGTAAACTATTTTAAAAAACTATCAACACTGCCCTGACTGCTGTGGCTTGGTTGGGAGTTGTCCCACAAAACGGAAGGTGGCTGGTTTGGTCCCTGGTCGGAAGGCATGCTAGAGGCAACCAATACATGTTTCTCTCCCTTTCTCCTCTATTCCCCTCTCTCTAAAAATAAATGTTGATATTTTTTAGATTTTATTTATTTATCTTTAGAGAGGAAGAGGAAGGAGAGGAGAGAAATATCAATGTATGGTTGCCTCTCATGGGTCCCCTGCTGGGACTTGGCCTGCAACCCAGGCGTGTGCCCTGACTGGGAATCAAACTGCAATCGTGCGGTTCGCAGGCCTGTGCTCAATCCACTGAGCTACACCAGCCAGGGCTATGTATATCTTACTTTCAATCACAATTAGAAAAACTAGGAATTAACATTAAGCTCAATTTAGAATGCTCAATCAGGTGTTAAAATACAAATAGAGCCCTGGCTGGTGTAGCTCAGTGGATTGAGCGCGAGCCTGAGAACATGATCACGGTTCGATTCCCAGTCAAGGCACATGCCTAGGTTGCAGGCCAGTTCCCAGCAGGGGACTCCTGAGAGGCAACCATACATTGATATTTCTCTCCTTCCCTTCCTCTCTAAAGATAAATAAATAAAATATTAAAAAAAATACAAATAGAATTATTCTGTCGAGCACATTCTCTTTAATAAAAAAAACCTCCTTAGTCTGAAACAGCCGTGACACCGCGTGCCCTTTACACCACCCACCCAGACACGTTTTCATACCTCAGCAACGCCCGCCTCCTGGGTTTGCTGGATTCTCTTCCTCCATCTCATTGCTGCAAGGGCTAGCTGCCGCTGCTGCGCGCTGATTCCGGTCAGAGCATCCAGGATGGAACTGCTTCCCCACTCGTAGTCTTCTTCCTAGGGAATCGGTCCCACAAACTGCTTAGTTCCCACAACAGTCCTCAAGGAGTTCACAGTCTAGCAAGAGTTAAAAACTATACACTCAATTGTCATAAACTGCATAAGAAAGCACCACTTTATGAACATGGAGGAAATGCAGATTAATTTGGCTTTATAGGAGAGCAAAGTATATGGCTTTTAATTAGAAATAAAAAAATACTGGGTACATTTCCAGGAACCAGAGGTCACCATAACAGCAGGCAATGTTTAGATTGCTGGGCTTTCCCACTGGGAGAACTTCAGAGCAGGACACGGTCTCTAACAGCCTGAGTCCACAGAAGAGGTTCCGAAGGCCTTTTGATTAAAATCTTCAAAAAGTACATTATAGATATAACCGTGAAAGTCATTTAGGAACCAAATATTTCAAATAATTAGTTTAATATTTATTAGCTAACAGTAAAGAAAAAAAGCTTACAGTGAGATCTTAATATTTGCTAATGTTATTTCCATTAAAAAACATTCAAATCAAAATGACGTAACTAGAAATCTGGGTAATAGCTAATCTTTTTTTTTGCTTTAACTGTTAACGTGGACCTTACAAAACTGGTATATACTAACTGGTCATATTTGTTAGTGTCGATTACACGGCTGGTCTGTGTGTGTGCTGGAGTCAATTACTAAGACGTTCACTTTTAGAGAAAAGTGACCCTTCATGTAAATTTGAACACGCACCGGCACGAAGCGCCCAGCAGTCCTGCAAGCTTCGAGGTAGGAGCGGTGAAGCACCCACTTCCCCGCCGCCAGGGAGGCCAGATACTTCTCGTTGCGCAGCGGGTGTCCCACCACGATGTGTGTGCAGCTGGGGTCGAAGGCCTGCTTCTCTATTACCGAGCCACCTGGAGGGAGAGAAGTTGGGAATTTCCTCATTCAGCCACAGAGCCATTATCAGATCTAAAACAATGAACACAAATTCTTTGCGCTTTCAATACTAAATCCTTGTTCAAATTTTCCTGCTTCCACTGGGGTCTGTTACAATTAAGGTTTAAAAAAGAGTAATATAAACGAGGGTTGCATATTGCAGCCAGCGGTTCCATTTCTTAGGTTTCCACCACCCTCAGCTCTTTTAAGTACTAAATACAGATAACCACAGAGATGGATTTGAAGCAGGGCATCTACAGACTAAAAGCAGAAAAAAACTTCTTGTGAGGGGAAATAAGATCAGCTGACCAACAGAGAAGCTTGGAAGGAAACACACACACACACTAGAGGCAGAGATACAGCAGCAGGCAGGAGCTGAAACCCCTCAGACACAAATGTATGAAGCCTGACTCTGAGGGAAGAAAGAAAATATAAGTATATAAGCTTATGCAAAGTGTGGTGTTGATTTATACTCTCGAGTTAGACTACTGGTTAGGTGGAGATGCATGAAGGACTTTCTGAGATTTTAAACATAACATTCGAACTCGTGGCTACAGAGATGACTAGCAACAGCAGCAATACTTTTTGAGCACTTACTATATATAGGCCAGGAACTGTTGAAAGTACTCAAGATTATTAACTCAGTCCTCACAGCTTTATGAAGTTACTATTATTATCTGCAATTTACATGTGGGGACACAGAGTAACTCACCCGGGATCACTGAGGCAACAAAAGAACAATAATGTTAAAGTTTCATATTAGTATCAGTATCATTCTATATTATTGTCTGTATCAAATTTACTGTGAAGGTTGATTTATGTGTATCAGTTCACCAGTGGCTTCATTCATGAAGTGAAGGGCTCCTTTACATTCTGCACCAGGAACCCTGTGGTCACAGACTCAATTCCAGCACAGTCTATACTCAGGTGCCCCTGTTCTGTGTCCTCTTCTAGACAATTTTCTGCCAGTTGCTATTATTCTCACCCAGAGTTTGGAGAGATGGAACCACCTACAGAAGACAGACACTTGAACGTTCCATTTTGGTGAGCTCTGGATAAAGCTTCACAATCCTGATTTATAATTCCATCTACTTTAACAGGCAACTGGGAACAAAATGTTCCAGTTGAATAGAGTTTCCTAGAAATAGTTTCTCAAGTGTACAACTGTATCTGACAGAAATCTTTTTTAAAAAAGATTTTGTTTTGTTTTTAGAGAGAGGGGAAGGAAGGGAGAAAGAAAGGGATAGAAACATCAATTGGTTGCCTCTCACCAGCAACCAATCAGGGACCTGGCCCACAACCCAGGCATGTGCCCTGACTGAGAATTGAACCAGTGACTTTTCTGTCTGTAGGATGACACCCAACCCACTGAGCCATACCAGTCAGGGCTGATGGAAATCTTTAAAAAGCATATATCATGGCTCACCACCACATCCTTAAAAGGACAGATAGCGCCAGCTTACCTTTCCAGTGTGCTGCTTCTAGGAGTGATGTCACACTAAGGGCCCGACAACTAGTGCAGTAAGAATAATGCCACATACCTTCAGCTTCATGATTTGGTCCAAGGCTTCATCAATGAACAAATAAATGCTCAAAGCAGCACAAAAGATTCTTAAACCTTACTGGCTGGTTTTGATTCAAATCTTTAAATCCTCTGACCCACTGACTTTAGGTTTAGATTAGAGTTTTATAAAGTAAAAGTTCTAATGCTGACTCCGTGTATAGTCTCAGACAAATTAACCATTTCTTGTTTCTCAATTTCTATACCTTAAAAAATGGTACCAAATATCAACCATATTTGCCTTCTAAATAAGGTTACCGTATGGGACATTTTTGACTTAAGTAAAATACTTATACCTAGTTTCTCAATCAGATGACAATAATCAATACGTTCTTGAGGGTTCAGAGATGACAACTGAAATGTGTGCTGTTTTTTTAAGTCTTCATGAGTCTCCTGTATTATAATCTGAAATGGAAGAGTTTTATTTTAGAAAAAGTAACATTAAAAAAGTTATCAGGTATATAGCTTTTACAGTGACATTTTATTTAGTCTTCAAAGTTATCAAGTACGACAATAATACAATGCAGTTTTCAATACCTGATGAACCCTTGATATTGATGCCCACAGGTTTTGAATGCAACCTAACTGCACCATCCAAAAGCCGTATCACTGTACTAAAGATAACAAACCTTTTCTCTAGGATGTGGAGCCACGGGTGGGTTGGCCAGGGGGAAGGCAATGCTGGGGGCCTGAGGTGTAGGGATCAGGTGGCTGTCTTTTAATGGAGTTTCCTGTTCTTCAGAGACTGGGTGTTTTGGAGCTTCAGTTGCACACACATTTCCAGGATCATGGACAGCTGAGGGCAATAAAATGTTGCAGTGTGATATCCAAACATCACTAAGAATGTATTCTGGGAAACAGTCTCACATGTCTTAGCCAAGATGAAATTAAATTCTGGAATGTAAAAAGGACATGCAAAAGAACTGGCCTATTTCTAGAGCTTGTAAATAAAGGCAATTAATTAGTACTAAAAGGGCAAATGGTGTTATCTGTGAGTTTCTCCCAACCTTTTTTTTTTAAACTACCAAGATCTCATCAGTAAAAAGTATCCAAAATTTGTAGAGTAAGTCAAGCTGCACTTGGAGAAAATCAGAAGCAGAGATAAATCTATACATCTAGTGAGAGAAATAATGTATTGATGTGAGGTGGGGGGGGTGATCAAAGATGAGAAATAGGAAACATTTTGTTTTTAAGGAAAAGCCCAAGGAAGAAAAGAATAGGGGAATTCAGAAACAAACTCATACAAATCCAAAGAACAAGAGTAGATATGTGCTGAGTAGAATTCAAAAGAGGACTTAAATGAAAATATGATGATGAAGAGAAAAAACAAGTGTAAAAAGGACCAAAAGGAGAGCAAGAATAACAGTGAAAATCATATCTGGAAAATAATGTACAAGCCTAAATTTCCAAACTTAAAAATCAAAATGTATTTTTCAATTTATTGATAAACCAATTAACTTATAATTATTTTTCTGACTCTAAAGTTTAAACCAAAATCTGAAATATCTAGTAAGTTTTTCATTTGCATGTACGATTCAGAAACCTACAATGTGTTTATTATCAAGAGGTCAACATATACTTAATATGAAGAAGTAAATAGATTTCTTTCTCCTTACCATGTTCAACAATTTTTAAATCAGGTAACGGGTCCTGCAAAGGAGAACCCTCCGGGTTCTTCACGTCAACCTGTGGTTCCGAGTACTGCGTGGGACAGCTCGGCCACTGCAAATTGCTGGCGAGCCTTGCCCGCTCCTCTCTGGCGGTAGGGTCATCCCAAATGATCTGTTCATTTTGGGAGGGCTCAGTGTTGACATCAGGTGCTGTCTGGCGAGACTGCCTAAGGAATAAAAGTGACGGTTTTAACAGACAGACAGCTGTAATAAACCCACATTTATAAGTTCCTGAAGTTAGACTGTACATGTGTGGTGCACCTTTACGTGCCCATCCAGTATACAGTAAGCACTTAAAGCTACTGAACACATAAACTTTGGGAAATTTTATCTTTTTAGAATGTTCCACCCTGGCCCTGGCAGGGCACAATCAAGAAGCAACCACTGAACGCATCAAAAAAATGAAACAAATTGATCTATCAATCAATAAATTAAAAACTTTTTAAAAAGTTTCTCCCAGAAACTGTTTTACTAAGAAAAGTAAAACACATTTTGACTGAATGTCCGTATATTTAAAACTTCAAGGAGAAAAAAAAAGTTCGTTGTCAAAAATGTTATTTTCAAATGACTGCGGAATTAAAAAATGGGAGTCTTTGTACTTATATACAGGCTTAGAAAAATATGGTATGTTTAGGAAAATGGTTACTTTGCTTACTGGTAGATGTATTTTTATTACTTGAAACAATACAATTAAATAGGAAATATATTGTAAACACTGCCTTAAAAAAAGGGATCTTTCAGCTCTTGGTGACCAAACCTCCGAGAGTCTCAGGTGGACCAGCCTTATGCTGAACTACGGTAAGGCACAGTTTATGGTATAACAATTCCACTGGAGAGTAGACAGAATTCCACCTATTTTCTTTCAAGATATATAGCAAATCTTTCAATATGTATACACACAAATACACATGCATGTTATAGATATGAAATCCCATTATATAGATATACACTCACATAACAGTAAGAATAATTTACTAAAAAGGGATATACCCTGTGGAGTTCACTTGACTCAGAAAGAAGGAAGACAGCCTTTTATTCTCAGAGTATTTAGGTTGGCACAAGATTTACGTTCTCTATAATAAAACATGACCTGAAGTACATTAACAAAAAGCCACTGTTACTCAGTACTCAGAAAAAAAATTAGCCTAAAAATATACAATTATCATAAGATAAATGTATAGCTTAATTAATTCAAGGTATTAAGTTCCTTAATATTAATCATATAATTAGAGAATTTTCTATCAGGAAAAAGATGAAGGAAGCTAAACTTAATGTCACATCACACTGAGATCTGTAATCACATTTCCTAAAAGCTAGGTTTGTAGATACAAAATACATGTAGTTCCGGTAAGACGCAACTGTTTAAACCGCGCGTCACTGCAAAGCACTGGTTGGTAAGGAACAAAGCCTCTGTGTCTGTTTCCTGCCCCCAGTGAAGAATTCCAGCACTGTGTGGAACAAGGGAGGGAAGACAGAAAATCCAGGAAGGTAATATTCGAATATAATATACGGGGTGGGCAAAAGTAGGTTTATAGTTGTTCATGTGGAAAATAATACAATAATAAATAATAATACAAGGATAAACTATTTCACATACTCACAACTGTAAACCTACTTTTGCCAACCCTGTATATAGTTTGGGCTAAATACGGCCCAGTAGTATAACCCTTTTAGTGGTCTTGATATTCTACAGTTGTTTTACTAATTAAAAACAAGCAAAATTAGGCTTAATTCATGGAACTGGGTCAGGTGGTACCTACAACAAGGAGCTACCTGTGTCTTAAATCATCTCGTCACTCCTTTCTGCCACCACGAGTGACAGGTACGAACCTCAAGGCCTCCAGGACTCTACTGCGTCCAGTGCGGGTGGAGCGAGCACTCTCAGGGGTTGAAGAGGTGCTGTTACAGCCATTTCTGCCAAAGGAGGTCCTCGGCCCTTGGGGTTTCACCATTGATGTTGCAGACATGATCTCCTGCAGCTGCTTTTGGAAATTCTCTCTCATCTCCAAGGTCTGTGTCAGAGCTTGAAATGCACAGAAACACACTGATCAGGTAAATTTCTGTTTTTATAATAAAATCACATCTTACATTAACATTTTGTCTAGATTAACAAATTTATTAAGTGGACATTTACAAAATACAGGCTATAGGGATGCATTATGATCATGCATACTGCAGAACACAAAGGCAGCCCTTACCACGAGGACTGTACATGAAAGAATCAGGAGGCCCTTTGAAGACATTCTGCTGAGACTTGCAAAGTGATTATCTCTTTTGTAGGCTCCCTGTCTGCTTCTTACACTCTCATGTTACATACTACCATCATTCACGTATGTGATTTTCCCTACAGTCCATGAAGATAAACATCACAAGTGATTTATCTTTGGGTTGCTCACAGACTACTTTCGGAATGAAGAGTGGGAGTAACTAAATAGATAAGTTATAGGGAAAGCTCTGGTAGGGCAAGATGAGTATGGAAAATAGAAAACAATGAATCCATTAAAAAGAGGACAGCTACAGAGACATAAGATTGTTCACTGCAGCACACTCTGTAATAGCAAGAAATCAGAAATAACTAGATGATCAACAAGGGAATGGCTGAATAAAGTGGGCGATTCATACAATGAATGTTATACAGTTGCCACAAAAAGACTGAAGAAGCTCCTTATGTACCAATATGAAACACTCCACAAACTGAACTGTTAAAAAGACCAAGATCAAAGTATAAACAACATATATAGTAGTTCACCACTTATGCATTTTTTTAAAAAGCAGGGAAGGAGGAAATTTCCTACTGTTTTCCACAGTGGCTGTACCAGTCTGCATTCCCACCAACAGTGCACTAGAGTTCCCTTTTCTCCACAACCTCACCAGCACTCATTGTTGATTTGTTTATGCTGGCTATTCTGACTGGTGTGCAGTGGTATCTTGTTGTAGTTTTAATTTGCATCTCTCTGATGGCTACTGATGCAGAGCATCCTTTCATATGATTCCGGGCCCTCTGTATGTCCTCCTTGGAGAAGTGTCTGTTCAGGTCCTTTGCCCATTTTTTAATTAGACTGTTTGTCCTGAAGTGGAGTCGTGTGAGTTTGTTCTCTTTATATTTTTGAGATTAAAACCTTGTCCAAGATACCACCGGCAAATATATTTTTCCATATGGTTGGTTCTCTTTTCATTTTGCTGATGTTTTCACTAGCTGTGCAGAGACTTTTTATTTCGATGAAATCCCATTTGTTCTTTCCTTTATATCCCTTGCTCTGAAAGACGTATCAGTGAAAACAGTGCTGCATGGGATATCTGAGATTTTCCTGCCTATGTTCTCTAGGACTTTCATACTGTCACGGCTTATATTTAAGTGTTTTATCCATCTTGAGTTTGACCCGGCAATTCCACTGCTAGGAATATACCCTAAGAATCCTGAAACACCAACTCAAAAGAACATAGGCACACTAATGTTCATAGCAGTGTTATTTACAGTAGCCAAGAGCTGGAAGCAATCCAAGTGCCCATCAGTAAATTAGGATAAAAAACTTATGGTACATTTATACAATGGAATACTAGAGAGCAGAAAGAAAGAAAGAACTACAACTCCTTTGCAACAGCACAGATGGAACTGGAGAGCATTATGCTAAATGAAATAAGCCAGGCAGTGAAAGACAAATACCATATGATCTCACCTATAAGTGGAACCTAATCTGTTGGGGACCGCTCTGCCTGGTTTCAGGAATTGTAACTACCCCCCATGGCTAAGGATGAGCAAGCAACCTCCGGAATGCGAGCCACAGGAGACAAAGCTTTTTCTCTGGTAGCAAATGCTGCCTCAGTTTCCTCTCCCTGCCCCCAAAGCATGGTCGGAAGTAAATGATGGGTAAGACTCCTCAGAGAGAGAGGGGCAACCTAAGCCAGACTCAATCACTTGGAAGGTCATCGTGGAAGGACTTAGGGGGCTGCAACAAAGAAAGAGCAATGGACCTTTGCACCCCTGGTTATGTGACATAGCCTGAGTCCCCATGTCCTCTGGGAGAAGCGCTTCCTGGCTCTAATCCCCTTAAGCCTGAATACCTGATGGGGAGGGGTGCAGCTCCTTGCCTTGCTAGAGCGGATCCAGGGAAATCTGGCATAAGAAAGAATTCCTAAAAAATTCTGTGAAACCTGCTTTGCTAAGAGTGTTTTCATTCATAGGTTAAGGGTCTGAGCAGGAAATGAGTATGTCTCCCAAAGTTCTTGCAACCCCCTTTCCTGACAGACACTGACTCAGACTAAGCCCTCAGATTTCTTTGAAATGTTATCTACTATTTGCTCCTTGCTGCCCTGTATTCCTGTGTATTACAACCCAATAAAAGCCCCTGGAGGAAGGGGCCCCCTGGGCTTTTTCCTCTGAGAAACTGGCCTCCTCTCCTCCCCAGGCAGATCAGGTCTTGGTAGTGTTTACTTTCATCCATGGCGGACAGGGGGACTTGAGGGCAAAGTTGCCCCCACACTAATCAACACAACAAGCAAGCAAGTAAAACAGAACCAGAGACATGGAAATGCAGAACAAACTGACAGTAACCAAAGGGGAGGGGTGAGGAGGGTAATAGGGGAAAGATGGGGAAGGGTCGTCAAGGAACATGGACAAAGCCAAAGGGGGCAGGGATTGAGGGTGGGAGGTAGCAAGGAGAGTGGTGGGGGGAAAAATGGAGACAACTGTATTTGAACAACACTAAAAGAAAAATTTTTTTAATTTAAAAAGAACTGCAGTTATACCTAAAGTTATGGTTAAATTGGCTTGAAGTTAATATTGAAAAGGATAGCATGAGAGAAACAAGCTGAATAAATTGTTCACGTTTGCTTGAATGTTTTTCTAGACTTGTATGTTAAAGTTCTTAGTTATAGTGAAGCATAGACATTATGTCTCTCAGGAAGTAAGGTGGGTTAAACTGCGAGTCTCTTAAGTATGGTGCTGGAAACCTAAGTAACTGTTTTTCAGGGAGAACAAGTAAGTTACAAAACGTTCTCTACAGAGCCATTAAGAAACAGCCTGTGTTATAACTCTAACTGGAAATGGCATGAGAAAAATTGATATTTTTGTAAAAGAAGCTTTTTGTCCACTGTATTCAGCAACGTATTGTTTCACACAGACAAACCCGTTTGGAACACAGAAACGTGAATGCACTGTATCAAATTACATGAAATCGAGAAGCTGCTTAAGTTTATAAGGAAAATACAGCTAGAAGACGTATTCACTACTGATCACTCTCAGCCTGCTTTTCATCCTCTGACAGCCACAGTGCAGTGTTTGGAGACGCTTGAGTCTCATTCATACCAACTGGTATGCTCTTATCAGCAGAGACGACAATTCCTAAATACTCTCCTCTCTGTGATAAATTGTCTCATATTTACAAATGATCAGATGTTCTCTGATACTATTAGAGATATTTAATAGTGTCAAAATTAAATACGATAAAAAAAAGTTGGGAAGGAGAGAACATTTATGACCATATACACATAAAATAGCCCTGGGAGGCTACAAACTAGTTACTTTGGAAGGTAGGAGAAACTCTTCATCCCTCCTTCTGTTCCTTTAAAACCATATTTATGTTAAACTACATTGTACATATATTAAAACTTACTGATATCACTTAAAAACTAGAACCAAAGAAAAAACTTAAGAATCACCAACCTTTAATAAAATAGGGCTATAATACACTAACTGTAAAATACCTAGTTTCACAAATTTCACACTTAAATAAAGCTTTGCAAATTATTACTTAGTGACTGGCCTGGAACAACCTCAACCAACTCTCAAATATACGCTTTACTTCCACTTAGCACAATAGAAAATAACTTATTTTTCCATAAGATGCAAAAGAATATTAATAAAATGTTTTTTTATAATTTAAAATATTTTACCTCCTTTAGAGTCATTCCTTCCATTTTCATTTGATGTTGCTCCTTCTTTGTTACTGGTCATCATACTATCTATATCATTTTCTTCTACAGGCAAATGATCTGCCTATGGAAGGAGAAAAATTGCAATTGCTCAAACCAAGCCATCACGTAAAGTTTCACAGTAACATATGACTAACACACTCGACTCCAGGAGGGGAAAATGTACCATCCATGTTGTCTACCTCGTCATCCTTTGCTGTCCCATCAGCTGAGGGCAGTCGACTATGACGGACTCTGTCATCTTGCACTGCGCTGATATCCAAGCTCATTTTGGGGTTGTAAGTATGTGGATACAGGGACTCAGGAAGGTGTTTATACTCTTGGGCACACTGCAACACAATGGTGTGCTTTAAAACAGGACTTAGAAAATCTTAGAGAATAAATGATGTTAGCTTGCAGAAGGACAACCAATATGTTACATAATAAGATGAAAAAATTTGCAAAATGAAAGTTCTGAAAAGCAGTTGACACTAAAAAATACTACTATATAAAAGACAAACTGTCCTCACTTTAAAAAATTGTTTTTCATTTCAATTACAGTTTACATTCAATATTGTCCCTACTTCAAAATAAAATGTTCATTGATTTTAGAGAGAGAGGAAGAGAGGAAATTAGAAAACCCTGATGTGAGAAACATCAATTGGTTGCATCCTATCTGTGCTGCAGCTGACGCTCAAACCCACCACCCAGGATGTGCCCTGACCAGGAATCGAACCCCCAACCTTTTGGTGTATGGGATAATGCTCCAATCAATTGAACCACACCAGGTAGGGCTGCCCTCAATTGTCAAGTCCACTAACATATAAAAATCTAATTCTGCCCTGGCTGGTGTAGCTCAGTGGATTGAGCGCAGGCCTGTGAACAAAGGGATTGTGGTTCAATTCCCAGTTAGGGCACATGCCTGGGTTGCAGGCCAGTTCCCAGTGGGGGACACATGAGAGGCAACCATACACTGATGTTTCTCTCCCTCTCTCCTTCCCTTCCCTTCTACAAATAAATAAATAAAATCTTTAAAAAAAATCTAATTCTATCTTCATGCTTTTGCCAAAGTATAAACTACATTCTAGGGGATACTGAGAAAGAGACAGAGAGAGAGAACGGTTCTAAATGGTATTGATAAACATACATTAATTAATTCTCCTCAAATTCTTATAAAATTTTCTTTCACATCATTTCTAGTTAGTGAACAGAATCAGAGAATCACACAGAGTACCCATTAAAGACTTCAGTATTTAAGGAATAAAGATCTTAAGTTTATGGTGGCAAAGAAATGAAATATGCTCTGTTAAATAACTAAAGTTATCAAACTTCTTTATATAGACTGAAACTGGTTCACACCCTGAAACAATGTTCGTATACATTCTCATTTAACAGACGGAGGATGAACAGTACCCCTTACTTCTAAAAGCCAGTGCTCTGAAACAATGTGTATTCCTCTTTCCTTCACAGATCTATACTCTCGGTTAGTGTCATTCTGTCGCCCTTGATAGATGAAATGAGTCACTGTTTCATCGAAACTCCACCTGAAACAACCACACATAAAAAACAAGTGAGAGAAATGTCTGTATTAATTTACAATCATTATTCTCTATGACTAGAATATTTTGACCTTCATAAAACCTCTAAGAACTGGCCTAAGCAACAATATTAAATGATAGTCTCCACTTTTTTGGTCAAATTCTATACACATATTTCTAGGAATTTATGTGCAGAGAGATATTTAGAAGGATATATTTTAAAACATTACTTTGTCCTTTATACTTCTCTGAGTTGTTTCAACCTCCTTACGATGAATGTAACTTTATGGTAATAATACAGGTCTTCTTCCAGTTGCTGGCAGTCACCACTCATTGTACACTTGCTCTACACCCCATAACAGACCATGCACTTGACACATCATTACCCCCATCCACTCCTAGAAACAACCCTCAAACACTGGCATCATTACATCCATTTTACAGGTAAGAAATCGGAAGGATTTGGTTAAGTAGTATGTTCAAGGACATTCAATGCATAAGTGGTAGAGGCAGGTTTGACTTCATAGCTCACACTCTTAACTATTTTATTATGCTATGACCTCCTGATTCTCCCTACATAATATTCTCCTGACCTAGGAAAATCATCTAAAAAAAGTAAAATATACCATCCTGCAAAATATAAAGTAAAAACCAAAGGAGAAGTAAAAATTGTATTTCTAGCCCTGGCTGGTGTGGCTCAGTGGATTGAGGGCGGGCCTGTGAACCAAAGGGTTCCTGGTTTGATTCCCAGTCAGGGCACATGCCTGGGTTGCAGGCCAGGTTCCCAGTGGGAGGCATGTGGAAGGCAAAAGTTGATGTTTCTCTCCTTCTCTTTCTCCCTTCTCCTCTCTCTAAAATTATATAAGTAAAATCTTTTAAAAAATGTATTTCTAATCATAATCACTAAAAAATAATCACAATCATATGATCAAATAATCATAATCACTAAAATAAACAGAAGTTTCTCTTTGTGGACATTTACCACACTTTCCACTTCCTAAATAAGGTGGGAAGGTACAGGGAAAAAGCATAATTGGTAGGCATAAAATAGGGAAAGGTAAAAATGGGGAACAGAGAATTCAAAGAACTTGTAAGTACAACGCATGGACATAAGCTAAGGAGGGGAAATGTTGGAGGGCTGGGTGGTGCGGGGCAGAGGGGGGATAAAGGGGGAAAATTGGGAAAACTGTAATAGCATAATCAATGAAATACACTTTAAAAAATAAAATAGCCAAATTAAACAAATTAAGAAGAAACATTTCCTCCTAAGTTATAAACACCATCTCTATTTCCTATAGCCCACACATCCTTAAAAATAGCAGTAAAAAACACCTTGCCTAATTTGTTAGTTTTATGAAGATAATTCCAAAAAACATAAATATTTTTTCCTAAAGCATCTCATTTTACTATCCACTGTAATAATATGGATAAATTATGAGTTTTAGTCCTCAGAGGTCTTTCAAGGACAGAATCTCAATGATTACAGGTGGTTTTGATCGGGGGGTGGCAATTATTTTTTTAAAAGGCCAGATGATTAACATTTTAGGGTTTGCAGGTCAAACAATTTCATAACTATTAAACATTTTGCCTTGTATGAAAGCAGCCACAGAAAATATAGGGCGGGGCAAAGGTAGGTTTATAGTTGTAAGGCAAACAGAGTTCACTCTTGTATTATTTATTGTCTTTTTCTATTTTATTTATATTTAGGGAGGGAAATGTAAGGGGAGAAACATCAATGTGTGGTTGTCTGTTATGTACTCCCCACTAGGGATCCAGTCCACAACCCAGGCATGTGCCCCTACTGGAAATTGAACCAGTGACCCTTTGGTTTGCAGGCTGGCACTCAATCCACTGAGCCAAATCAGCCAGGGCCTATTTATTGTCTTTGTCCATATGGACAACTGGAAACCTATTTTTGCCTACCCACGTATGTAAACAAACAGGCATGGCTATGTTCCAACATATCTTTACTTACCAAATCAGATGTCTAGCCTGCCCACCACTTGGTCTAGCTCAGTGGTTTCAGCACAATTGTTACTCTAATTTAGGAGCTATTTTGGACATTTGTGGGGGTTTTGGTTGTAATAATAATGTGTGTTTGTATGTTGGGAGATTGTCACTAAATTTAGTAAGTAAGGTCTGGGGATGCTGGAATTGCTGGGGAATAATAGTCATATATATAATTATCCCACATCCTACATAATTTTCTAAGTGTCCTGACAAAAATCCACATAGGTTAAAAAAAAAAAGGTTGTATATACAGTTGTTCCTCGAACATGTGTTTGAACTGCATGGATCCACTTACATACGAATGTTGTCCAATACATACATATAGTATTGTAAATATATTTTCTCTTCCTTATAATTTTTTAAACATTTTTTTCTCTAGTTTACTTTAAGAATACAGTATATAACACATATAACAATATGTATATTGACTGTTATCAGCAAGACTTCCAAACATCAGTAGGTTAAATTTTCAGGAAGTCAAAAGTCATATGAGGATTACTGACTGCGATGGTGGAGAGAAGGGGTTATGCCCCTCCCCTTGCACAGTTTAAGGGTCAACTGAAATTAAACCAGCCTAGAACGTGTTTCACATATAAACAAGTTATTTTTTTCAGTTTTAATAATACACTAGTGTACCAAGTATACAACTACTGAGTTAGTTGATGAAAGACTGTACTTAATTTGGAACTTTGTCAAATTATGAACAAGCCTTGATAAAGTCTTACTACTAAAGGAAATGCTACTTGTGGGACCTGAGTCTCCCTGTCTCCTTCAGCCCTGTGACTGTAGCATTTGAGGCGATTTTACATATGCACACGTGCAAATGAATACCCTTTTGTCTTCTAGTGTCCTCAGACACAGGCATTTATTTACACACTAAACATATTCTGTTCTTATGTGCCTTCTACTGACCTGTATTTTTTTTAATTATAAAAGTATATAAAATAGTAACACCTGAAATAAACATTTTCAGTGAACAACTATATGTGTGTGTGTGTGTTGGAGCGTCATCCTGTACACCAAAAGGTTGCAGGTTCGATCCCTGGTCAGAGCGCATACAGGAGGCAACCAACTGATGTTTCTCTTCCTCTTTCCTTGGGTGAAGATTTAAAAACACATTATAAAAGTAGGTAAGTAATATTTATAAAATCATTTTAAGTACAGGGGCTGTGATGTAGTATCTGTAAAGAAAAGGGGAGGCTGCATTGGAGGTGTGAAGATGCTGGTGAGATGTTTAACTGCTGGGAGGCAGGAGACGGTATGAATAGTCTCTTCAGGATGTTCTAGACCCAGCTTACGGAAGGGAACATCTGGGATAGCTGCACTTGACGTGTAACTACTGTAATCTCTGCATATTAAAGGGCTTTTCCCTCTCAACCATCACCAAGTCTGAGAAATCCATTTCAGGAATAGTATTTAAAACAAACTTTAAATCAAGTCCACATACAAGCAACATCTAAGGAAGCATTCAAATTTTGACATGTATACTCATAGGGCTACTGTGAGAATGAAATGAGATAATGCTCATACTAAGTGCTTAGCAACTGGATAATACAAATATAATAGGTAACTATGTAACACAGTAATAGGTAACACTACATACATAATAGACAACCAGTCGTTATTATACCTATGAATAGCGGACTGCAAGTGATCAGAAAGCTGGCACTGCAGACAGTGGAGGGGTCCATCAGCTCGGGACTGGCTGGACTAGGCAAGGGTCTCAGTTCTCTCACACTGATGCCATTTGCACTAGAGACCTCTTTTTAGCTTGGCTCTCAGGTTGAGGGCAGCTCTGCCAATCTATGTCTCCAAAGTGATAAAAATGATAGAAATCAAAACATCCCCCCAAAAAGACCATTTTAAATTCAGGAGTACTTAGTATTACTCACAGAAGGGCTCTATTCTGAAAATCACTAAGGTAAAAATATGCTTAAACTCAGACCTAGAGGCCAAGTTTCTATAATAGTAAGAGGCACAAAAATAGGTTGTCAAAAATTTGTTAGACACCCTAAAAGAACATAAAAAATATATTGTTATGGCAGAGAATATTTTTAAAGGATGTGGTAAATTAAAAATCATTTGGAGTAATTTTGTAGATAAAATGACACATTAAAGGGAAATAAATATTCCTTTGTAGATGCTCACCAGAGCTTACGTCACTCTAGAAACTTGGGCCACCTGACCACCAAACAGAAAGAGGTGCCCGGTACCTGTAATCTGCTCCCAGAGAGGCTGCAATCCCATTTAGTTCGCTCTGCTTCTTACTGAGTTTTTTACTGACACAGACCACTGCTGTGTGAAGTGGCTTTGGAGCTTCTTCCTGCACGTGGAAAATAAAAGAAACAGACTGACCATTACTGTCTGAAATATTTTATCCATAACTTCCTTTCAGTAAGAGATCTAATACTACCATCTCTGGTTGAGCATCCTTCAGTTGAGGGCTGGCAGAAAGAGCAACAGCATCTCGAGAGCTATTTGCCAAAGCAAGCTTCAAGTTTCTGCCGATGACTTCTGAGAGCGGGGTACTCAGTTTCCTTCTCTTTTGGCTAGGTCTGCCTGGAGTCTCCAAGGCTGCCAGTGCATCCTATATGTACGGAGGGGGAGAAGGAGAGGGAGAAAGCAAGGTTGAGAGGAAGAGGCGAAAAGAAGAACAAGGGAAGAAAAGGAAAAATAAAGAGTTCAAAAGGGGGATAATCTTCAAAATTAATTGGATTATATCTATAACCTCCTCTGGCTTTCCTCCAAACCAAAATAAAATGAAATGTTATCTGTATCTATACACTACAAAAAAAAAATTCATACTATCTTACCACATTTGCCTGAATATTTTTTATGGAAAGATTTTATTTATTTACTTTTAGAGAGAGGAAGGGAGGGGGAAAAGGGGAGAGATAAACATCAATGTATGAGAGAGTCATCGATGGTTGCCACCTCTCACATGCCCCCAACTAGGGACCTGGCCTACAACCCAGGCACGTGCCCTAACTGGGAATCAAACCTGCATCCTTTCTCTTTGCAGGCTGGTGCTCAATCCACTGAGCCACACCAGCCAGGGCTGACTAAATCTTAAGAGTTTAAATTGTAATTTAAATAAAGAACAACAAAAACAAAACAAGCAGACGAAAAACACAGAAGGAAATAAGTGAGCTAGGACCTGGATATAAGCAAGACATGAACTACCAGGAAGGTTAAGAAGTCAGACTGAGCTGAGAATTATGAAAGACCTTTGAAAGTACAAAACATCAACATGTTCCTATTCCCAAGCCACCCACAGTTCCCTCACAGAGGGCCCTGCTGCTCAGGGGTTTGCTCATTCTCTCTCCCATCTGCGCAGTGCCCCATGTGTGCACAATGTATTTAACCAGTCTCAGCTGATGACTATCTTCATTGATAACCTTTGCCAATATAATGATGCAATGACTAACATTGTACATACACCATTTTGCACACACAAGAATAAAGGGAACCACTTGAGTAAAATTTATGTACCAACAGTGACATGCTTCTGAGCAAACCATTTAAGTGTATGTTCCCCAATATGCTTGACAACATAGCGGGTAATCAGTTTTTTTGCCAACTTGATAGATTAAATATATTTGTATGTTTTAGTTTCCTACCCTCTGAACAGCTGTATGTAGGTGTAATATTTCTATTTAATGTTTTGTGATAGTTATGTCTTTCTACTCTTTGCCCATTTTTCCACTGGGTTATTACTCTTTATATTCACTTGCATGAAGATATTTGTATGAATTTACATACATATCTCCACTGTGATACTAGTTCTTGTACATGTATATACTTAGTATCAATGTGTAGTTTGTCAAATTTTTGCCATGGAGAGTTTTTTTAAACAAATACTTTTTTTTAGCACACATTTATAAAATCTGCATATTTAAATGTGGAGAATTTTTTTTGCTGTCAAATTCTATGAATTTTTATTGCTTTTGGGGTGTATGTTATAGTTAGAAAGGCCTTCCTCACAGTGAATTATTTAAAAAACAACTCTCCCATTGCCTTTTCTAGAATTTTTATGCCTTCATTTCTTGTGTATAAATATCTGATCCTCTGATATTTATTCTGATGCAAGGTATGAGGTTTCATCCCAACTCTTTTCTCAGTTGTCTGACTGGAATGCCTCCTTTATTATAAAAGTATAACATATTCTCCTATCTATGGGACATAATCTGGTGCACTGGTTTGATAATTTATGTGACATTAACAAACTGCTCCAATTACTGAAACTTTGTTTCAATAAGTAGTGGGACTAGTTCCTACCTTCAATTATCCTTTTCAGGGTTTTGTTTTGTTTTTTTAACCAGCAAAGTTTTCATTTATTTTTTAAAAATTACTTTATTATTGTTCAATTACAGTTTTCTGCTCTTTTCAGGTTTTTAATACTGTATCTGTTTTCTGTTTTTAATAGAATCGATTAAATGTAATAAATCTTTGTGATGTTTAGTTGTTTTTTTGCAAGAAAATCATAAGGGGACTTCCGCCAAGATGGAGGTTTAGCTGGATGTGCCTGCCTCCTCCCACAACCAAGTTTAGGGACAACTAAATACTAGCATCACAAAACACAACCAGAACACGGAAAACTGAATTTTTCGGAAGTCCGCTAACAACAAATTCTTCAGCCTGACCTAGGTAAGGGGCGAAACCGGCCTCCGGTGAGGACTTACAAAGGAGGGCTCGGTCGGACCGGGCGCGGAATCCGGGCGCGCGAATCCGGGCGCGCAAATCCAGTCGCGCCGGTTCCAAACCCAGGATTGGACCTGGTGAGCCGCCGAGCACCCCACCGGGGGAGCGACACAGTGGGGAGGCGGTGGCAACGAATTGACTGTGGTTGCCTGGGTGCGCACGAGTGAGGGAGTGAGCAGTTGGACCAGCCCGGCGGCGGCGGCGGCGGCAGCGGCGGCGGCGGCGGCGGCGGCGGCGGCGGCGGCGGCCCGCCATTTCCCGCTCTGACCACGCCCCCACATACAGCGTCACAACCCAGCGACCTGGGACTCCAAGGCGCCGCTTGTCCCACTTAAAGGGCCAGAACAGACCAAAAATGTCGCAGGCAGAACTCAAAGCCCCAGAGATAAATCTAAATGACGAAGAAATAGCAAAACTCTCAGACGCACAGTTTAAAAGACTGGTCATCACCTTCCTTACAGATTTGGTGGATTACAGCCACAAATTAGAGAAACATATGGAGGCTAAATTAAGGGAAATGAATGGAATTCCACAGGAATCCCATAGAGATGAAAAGGAAACTGGGACTCAAATCAATGCAGTGGTCCAGAAGAAAGCAAATAATGGACAAGCAGAAAAGAGTCAAGGAGCAAGAATTCAAAGAAATGAGGAGAGTCTTAGGAACCTCCAGGACATCTTTAAACGCTCCAATATCCGAATTATAGGGGTACCAGAAGGGGGGAAAGACACAACCACCAGTGGAAAAACTATTTGAACAAATAATAAAAGAAAATTTCCCCAATCTGGCAAAGGAAATAGACTTCCAAGAAATCCAAGAAGCCCAGAGAGTGCCAAAAAAGTTGGACTCAAGAAGAAACACACCAAGGCATATTATAATTACATTAGCCAAAATTAAAATGAAGGAAAGAATCCTAGAAGCAGCAAGAGCTAAAGGGACAATCACCTACAAAGGAGTCCCCATCAGGCTGTCAGCAGATTTCTCAAAAGAGACCTTACAAGCAAGAAGGGGCTGGAAAGAAATATTCCAAGTCATGAAATCTAAGGACCTACAACCAAGATTGCTCTACCCAGCAAAACTTTCATTTAGAATGGAAGGACAGATAAGGTGCTTCTCAGATAAGACCAAATTCAAGGAGTTCATCATCACCAAGCCCTTATTATATGAAATGTTAAAGGGACTTATCTAAGAAAAAGAAGATAAAGAAACATGAACAGTGAAAGGACAACAAATCCACAGTTATTAACAACCACACCTAAAACGAAAGCAAACCAAAGGACAGCTACAGCAGGAGTGGAAACATAGAAATGAAGATCTCAAGGAGGGTTAGCAACAGGGGGAATGGGAGGAGGAGATGGGGGAGAAGGTACAGAAAACAGGTAGCATAGACAGTAGATAGAAAATAGATGGGGGGCGAGAATAGTTTGGGAAATTTAGAACCTAAAGGACTTGAGACACATGGACATAAACTAAAGGGGGGTAATGGTGGGGTTGGGGGGCAGGGTGGAGGGGAATGGAGGGGGGAATAGAACAACTGTAACAGCATAATCAATTCAAAAAATAAATAAATTTAATTAAAAAAAAAAAAAAAAAAAAAAAAGAAAATCATAAGGCATTCTACTTGCTAAAACTTAAAATAAAATTCCCCACAGCATTTAAAAGGATTCTTCACACACGAAAGAAACGAGACGCTCCACAGCACATCTGCCCACCTCCCGTACCTGTGAAGCAGTGTACCACAAACACTACTTCCCTTCCAGGACTGGCCTCCACTTTAAGCACTAGACCCAACCCCTCGCACCAACACAAAGATGTGGCTTCAGCAACTTTCCCCTCTCATCTCAGGGTCAATTCGATCTCTACTGGATCACTCACACTTGCATGCATTTAGTTATGCCATCTTAAAATCAAAACAACCTCTGTTCACCCTATTTTGTCCTGTACCCACCCACCCCATTTTCTGGTCACCCTTTGCAGCAAAACTCCTCAAATGCATTGTTTACATCCACTGTCTCCAATGCCTCTTGCATTCCTGTATAAGTTCGCACTGGCTTCCACCTCTGCCATGTCATCAAAACCCTTACTGGTAAGATCCCCAGTGACCTCCAGAATACTAAATCCACTGATCAGTTTTCTGTTCTCAACTTTCTTGATCTTTCAGCAACATGTGACAGTTAACCACTCATTCCTCAAATATTTTCTTTCTCAGCCACTAAGGAGCTCTAGGAGTATATGAGTAGTGCTTGTACTATTTTTTGTAACTTCATGTAAGTTAGAAATTATTTCCAAGTAAAAAGTTAAAGAAAAATGATAATACCTCGTTGCCAAGGATGGGGCACACTGGATGCTCAATACACTACCGCTGGAGCATAAACTGGTTTGACCATTTTGACAGTCTTGTCAGTCTCAACTAAAGTGGGAATAAAACCCAGCACTGCCGGAACTTGTGTAAGAATTGACTAATCAACATAGCCCATGACTTTGAACCCCTTACCATGTTGGGTTTTTTTGCCCTTAAAGCCCCGAATGTTAAGTCACTGGGGAGTTTGGGCTTTAAGTGATACAGGTTCCCATTCTCCTTCCTTAGCAATCTACAAATATTAACTGCACTTTCTCCATTGCAAAAAAATAATAAAAATAGAAGAATGTTCACAAGTGCATTATTTGGAAGAACAAAAAAACTAATGCTACCTAAATGCCATTAAACAGTACACTAGATATGTAAACTGTAGTATATAGAAAGAATGAAATATTTAATATCACATATTAATAAATCCGTGAAGTGCAGTCAGAGGTAGCAACATAGACAAATCTTCCAAATGAAGGTTGAACAGTACCACCAAAAGAAGACAGACTCAAAAGAGTAAATTCTATGATTTCACCTATTTAAAAGTCAAAAACGAGCACAACAAAGCTACCGAGTTAGAGGTCAGGGGTGTTACCTCTGGGGAGGAGGAGGAAGCAGGACGGAGAGGGGTGTGAGGGAGTGTGGCGTTAGCGGTGGTTTCTTTCTGACACGGAAGCGCTTCCCAACTGCTAACACTGACACTGCATTTAGCAGCACATCTGCTGTGCTTTTATGATGTGTCAATTACACATAAAGTTTCAATAAGAGGTTTTTTTCATTGTGAGGACTAATAAATGTTCAATTTTGTGATTATTCCACCTGCCCTTCTGTTTTCAGAGTAAGAATTCTATATGCTATACTATGTGCACCTGAAGACTCAGTGATCAAAAGCTGAAGTACTAATTTATGACCAAAATGAGAAAAGAACAGAAAACTGCTTAAATAAACTGTGACTCTAAACAACAGAACCTCTAAAGGTATTCTGTACCTTCACAGAGACTCTTTCAGAACCACTGGCTTTGCCATGCAAGGCACCTGAAAAATAGAATTTATCAATCATTTTTTTGCCTATTAAAGTTACCTTATTTACTATTCAAAGGTTCTGTGAACTGAGACCTTAGCGATCACCTGTATATATGCCGTGTTTTTATGGGTGGGAATAATGAAGCCCACAGAGGTTGACTTGCTTTAAAAGGCAGCCAAAGGCAAAGCAGAGGCTGATTCTAGCCCTCAGTTTCCAAACCAGTGGTTTTCCTGTTTCTTAAGACATAAGGAGCAGTGATAATCACAGCACAAAATGTTACTACAGAAGAGATTTGATGAACCTGAAATTCATATTTTGAATGGCAAATGCAACTAAAAATGAATGAATGAATGAATGAATGAATAAATAAAAGATCTGATCAAAGTTTTAGCTAGGAGAAAGTTGTTCCAGTATTAATTTATATTTACTTTCTGGAGATGAATAATCTGTAAACTTTGTAAGTCTGCTCTAAAACATACTAGTAAAAATTATTAAAATGTTGCTTCTTAATACCCTATAAGCAAAATCAATACATAGTACAATGATGTTGCAATGGTCCATGAATTAAAAAAAAAAAGACAACGGTTTGAACAGACACTTAAAACCCAAAAGCTGCTAAAGGAAAACGAAGAAAATCATGTTTTGGGAATAAAAATAAACCATTTGAGAAAGTTAAGTTAGTCCTTGATTTGCAAATGATTTTTTTCTAGAAAGGGAGCCGTACTGCAATGCCCAAGAGAAAAGCAAAGGTGCAGACTTGCTCATCATTTTAATGGGAATGACTGATAAGTGAGGTGATAATAAAGACATTTTCAGTATATTGGGTATACTCCTAGAAACAAAATATAAATAGCAGTGTGTTTATTATACAGGGTAGGGCGAAAGTAGGTCTACAGTTGTTTGCATGGAAAATAATAATAAATAATACCAAAATAAACTGTGCATTTCATGTACTTGCCACTGTAAACCTACTTTTGCCCCACTGTGCACTATTTCATAGTTTACATATTTTATCCGACCATGTCGTTTGACCCTTATGATACATCTGAGTTTTCAGAGTAAATGATATTATTCTCTTCATAAAAAAGAAGAAACTGATGGTCATATATCACAAGATGAATGATCTGCCTAGAGTCAGATGTTCATGAGAGATACAGAACTTGAACCCAGATGTCCTGGTTTCACACTATATTTATGTGTTACCTCAACCACAGGTATCAACAAGGACTCAATAATATGAATCCACTTGCCAACATCTCTGGAAAATGTACTACTACAAACTTTAGAGGTGATGCAGAAAATGATGCTTTAACTCTATAAAGCTGTTAGTTCCGGGACCGTTTTCTATGAACCTCACCTTTACGTCAAAGGAAGGCTTGAAGAGTTTGTCCTTGGACAGAAATTTGGATGGTGTGTCCAGGTGTAACGAGGGCTCTTTCTGGAGTGGCTGTCCTGCCGGGGAGACTGGCACCTGCCGGGTGTGCTGTGATACCACGGCATGGAAAGCCTTACTCTGAAAGCGGTTCATATCTAAAGGTGTGACGGCCGTTTTCCTGTGCACGCCCAGGCATGGGGCAGGATGCTCTGGGGCATCTGAATGTAGAGTCACCCCATTTGCTATTACAGTCTCTAAACTTTGCTCTGGAGGTTTAAAAAAAAAGAAAGAAACAAATGTGAGCCACTAATAATGCCTTTTTCTTCCAATAAAGAGGCACATAAGTGAGACTTTTATCCTATTGTTAATTTTCATATGAATTCTCAAGTACACTTTAAACCTCAAAGTTACGTATCTACTTTCCAAGAAACAGACCAGATGATGTATTAAAATACGTTGAGTTAGACAAGCACATCAACTGAAACAAATAATTAATGAAATCAGTTTTCCCGTGTTAGCTTGTAACATGAAATATTCTCAATAAATTTCACAATTTGCCAAAAATTATATAAATAAATGTCATCTTAGTCAATGGCAGAGTAAAAAGAAAATTCCAATTACATGTACCCAGAATTAACAACCAGTCAAGTTTCTGGAAAGTCCTTAATGAAATTTTAATATGACTGAAACATTGCTTTGCCTCAGAGACAAAATTTCCAGTCTGTCTAGGTAAGTAAGTAACAGCTCTCAGAGTTGTTCTCAAGCTGCCGAATTGTCCGAATTGTCCGTGAGGTTTTTCCAGGGATCCCACCATCCTATAAGGGGCTACTGTGTCCTCCCATCCTACTTCCTACACTTTCTGATATTTAACAAAAAGTTAGATGGCTACTGCATACCAGGCCCAATGCTAGACAATGGAAATGCACAATGCCCAAGACAAGCACAGTCCTTGCTTTTCAGAGCTTACAGTTGAGTAGGAAGACATGAAAGCAAACCAGAATTATAACGCTGGGATAAGAGCTATGAAAGGGATAATACAAGGTGTGATGGCAAGACGAAGGCCATACTTGGTGAGTCAAGGAAGGCTTCCCAGGGAAAGTGCCATCCAAGATGAGAATGGAAAGAAGGGGGAACAGGCAAGCATGAGGCAGGCTAGAGAAAACATGCAGAAGTTCAAAGTGAGAGGGGGAACACTAATTACATGGTGTGTCAGTCAGTATGAGCCATAGAAGGACCAATAAAAGTGACCCAAATTCACATCTTTAGGCTTCAAACACTGAGCCTCTAGAATGTTCCTACATTGTTTTGCATCCCCTAGCTTTCAAACAATGCTTACACTTGAAAGTACTGATACAAATTGGACACTTGTGCTATGAACACACACATGTTTTCCACCTAATAATGAATGCCCAACAGCGGCTCACTGCACCAGTGTGAAAAGTAGGAATCAACCACCTTTCCTAAAAACAGGCTTTGGCACACTGATATCTCAGAAACCATCAAACTGTAAAAATATGTATATGTAAAAGAACAAAATAAAAATATTAACCTTCTTTAGTTGAATTTTCAATCAGAAAATGGCTTTCACTTGCTCTCTTTCCAATTCTAGCAGTCTCCAACAGCCAAGCTATGGTGACTGCCGGTAAATTCCACTTCTTGGAAGCTTCATATTTAGAACCGCTTGGTGTCTTCAATACAAGATGTGTACTAGCAAGCATGCCTTTCTTTGCATTGGCTTTGCGGACAAAGAATTCTTGAACACTGAAAGTTGTATTTAGAGAAAAGCAAATGGTCATACACACAATTAGCTAGCAACCTGACAATGAAGGTTCTAATACAACAGTGTTGTTAGAGTTCTAAGAAGATACCAGTGATTAAAAGTCAGTTCTATCCCTTAAACTTTCAAGAAATAACTAGAAAAATCTCCTCCCTAGTCATTACCCACCCAGCTTGTCCTTTCCTCCCAAAGAAGGCACAAACATCTAGGGAGCAAAGTGTATGAATTACACATGATGTATTTTAGTCTACTACAACTGTTCAAAGCATTTTCACATATAGTCTCATTTGTGATATTTGTGGAACACTAATTATTTTGTCAAATGCTATAAAGATACAACCTGGGAAAAGATAAAAAGAAATTAAGTGACTTGCTCAAGATCACAGACTATTAATAAACATGGATTATGTGGAGGCATAAACAGAAGCCCACCCACCACTTGAGGTATAAGTAGAATTCAGTAATTTCTTTTATGACTTCTCAGTTTTACATTCAAATTCTCCACTTTAAAAATTTCCTTAACATTCTACATTTTCCCAGTATTGTCACGATTTCATTTTTCATATTCAATCCACTTATCCATGAAGTCTGTTGTCTTGGTTACTGTCTAGATTTCCTACAATTTCACTTTTTCAAAAGCTTTTTACTGTTTAGTATAATTCAAATACAGAACACAACAAAAAAGGAAACGTACAATTTAATAATTCTAAGGTGAGAGCCCTCACACCCACCACTCCTGTCGGAGGACAGAACCGTGTCGGCCACCCCAGGACCTCCCATGTGCCCTCTCAGTCAACACCCCTACAGCCCTTCCTCACAGGAGCCACTATATGGATATTTATGGTAATCACTTCCTTACCTGTCTCTATTGTCACCACATAGTGCATCCTTAAACACTACACTGAGTCCAGTTTTTATGTCTTAGTTTAGATGTTCCCTTTTCTTTCCCCAGCGCCTTATGATCACTTAGAGTGTAAAGTTACCTCGATCTGGACTTTGCTGACTGTATTACTGTGGTGTGACTTAACACGTTACCCTCCTATCATATTTACTATAAATCAGTAGTTGAATCCAGCGGCTTCACTGGATTATTTTCATTATTTGGGTAGGACTACTTCAAGGGGCAGTGTGTTCTTTAGCAGGACAAACAAGATGTCTATTCATCTCTATATTATGTGATCTTCTACTGATTTTCAATGCCTAGATTCTTTCACTAATTCATTTATTTATTGGAATACCAGCAGAAAGGGAAATTTTGTCTTATTCATTATTACGGTACTCTGACACAGATTCTACAGGAAAGGCAGGACAAATACTTCATCCTTTCCCTTCGTTTACCAGCTCTCAAAATAATGGGTTGGTTTCCTAACATCTTTCAAACATGACCAATTAGTTTAGTTTGTTTGGTGTCATTAAGGAGTCATGACTGGGCCCTGGCTGGTGTGGAGCAGTGTACTGAGTGCCAGCCTGTGAACCAAAGGGTCGCTGGTTTGATTCCTAGTCAGGGCACATGCCTCGGTTGTGGGCCAGGTCCCTAGCAGGGGCGTGCTGGAGGAAACCACACATTGATGTTTCTCTCCCTCTCTTTCCCTTCCCCTCTCTCTAAAAATAAATAAATAAAATCTTAAAAAAAAAGTCGTGATTGAAACATCATTTGATGTGTTTCACATCATTTGATGTGATCCACTGCTGTTACCATCTGGTAATACTGTATTTAAATTTTCCTGTCTTTGGCCAGTGGAGTTCTTTTTAATTCTTACCTGAGGATATATTTATTAATTTTGGAGAGGAAGGGAAAAGAGAAACATTGATCTGCTGCCTCCTACACATGCACTGAGCAGGAATCAAGCCGCAACCTTCTCGTGTGTGGGATGATGCTCCGCCCACTGACCCACCCTGCCGGGGCCACGGAAGTTCCTTTCGACACAACCCTCCCCAGTTGTCTTTGATAATGTGTTTGCTCTCTGTTCTAACAAAATGTTCCAGACTCACTGGTACCTTTGCTGCCTCAGATCTGGAATTAATCATTTATTTAAGCTTTAGTTTCTTTTTGTGGGAAATGGTATTTTAAGATCACAACCTGGGCACTGGGGTTCCTTGTTACTACTGGGTTGATAATGACTTCTAGACTTATAAATGATTTCAAATTCCTTTTTGAACCAAGAGTTATTAAAAAACAGTTCTAAAATGTCCAGTTCACAAGGTCTTTTCACTTTTTATTTCTACTATTCATTTCTACTGTTTTGTACTGTGATTACAGAAAATGGTCTGTACTCATTCTACTTCAGGAATTTATTGAGGTTTTCTTTGTGGCAAATCTCTCTATAGGCAACATTTACAAGTGTTCCACCGTGCTCACTGTTTGAGCGTAGATCTCCAACTAGGCTATTTAAATCTATCCTTCCTAGTCCTGGCTGTTATGGCTCAGTAGATTGAGTGCCGGCCAACGGGTCACAGGTTTGGTTACCAGTCAAGACACATGCCTGGGTTGCTGGCCAGGTCCCCACTAGGTTGCGCATGAGAGACAACCTCACATTGATGTTTCTTTCTCTCTTTTCTCCTTCCCTTCCCCTCTCTAAAAATAAACAAATTAAAAAAAAAAGGAATAAATCTATCCTTCCTCGTTTTCTATCTGACTTGTAATGAAGTAAAAGATGGGAATTAAAGTCTCCAACAATGCGTATTTAGACTGATTCTTCTTCGTATCTCCCGTTGCTTTCATTTCATGAATGGCTGCCATGGTCTATTTGATATACATGTATTTCAGTGTGTACAGCACTCTTGATTTATAGGCTTTCTTTTTCTTGTTTAAAGCACAGATCTGAATCCAAACTTGTCTGACATTAAAACTACAACCCCTCCTTTCTTTCTGTTTGCATTTACTTGACATCTTTTTTTCCTGAGTCACTTTGTTTTAGGTGCGCCTCTTATTTAAAATAATTTTAAATGTTTCATAATCTAATCTAAAATAGCTGTTCTTTTAATTACTGTAAGAGTTTAGTTCATTTAAATTTACTGGTATAACAGTTTTCTACTTCCTTTTAAAACAGCCACCATCTAACATTCACTTAGGGTTAATCTGGATCTTGAAAGCAACTTTAAAATTTTTTTCCTCCCAAAGTATTCATTATTCCCATTTAACATTTATATTTCTGGCTGAAAACCAGAGGAACAATGAATGTATACTGAAAAAGAATACATCAACCATATAGCACGTGGAAGGAAGTAATGCAGAGATAAACAATATTCAATAATGCTGCACGTACCAGCTTTAAAGATTCCCTTTCCTGGTGGGTAAGCATTAATGCCCACAGTTTTAACATCTGCCAGGCATCTATCCGGCAGGACTCTCCCCTATCCCTTCAAGCCATCACGTAACTACACCACCCACTGCTCATACACAGTGTAAAGCCGCCCAGCCAAACTAATTAGAATGCTCTCCAATTAGTCACGATAAATAAAAATACATTAAGACAGCAGGTACACTAAAAATACTACATACCTTGCTCCAAGGAGCTCTGCTAAGAATGTCAAAGAATCTTTTTCGGCTCCTGCACACTGGCTGAATGAAATAACACAGTCCTCTAAAGGAGTCTTTCCTGCCATTACTGGCACTGGCTTGAAGAGGGGACTTGACTTTGGATCAATTAAAGTCTGAGAGTCTATACAAGTTACCTTTAAAAACAAGAGAAACAAGAATATTAACCTGAAATAAGCGACCAGTGGTTAACACTGGTTCAGTTACAGTAGTAGTAATTTTAGTTTAGGTAAAAAGCAATTTTACTTTAAACCTGTGCATGCTCATTCTCAATATATTCAAATTATAATATGTAAAGAAACAGATACACCAGATCATTACATTAAATGTTACATTCTAAATACTGAGGACATTAAAACCAGTGAAACTTATCACTGAATAATGCTTCAAATTTAATTTCTTCCAATAATGTATTAGTTTATAATTTTTTCCTCTTAATGCTTGGAAAGTAAAAAGAAAACAAACCGACACCCCTGTGGTGAAATCACTGGCCCGTGATAAGCCAACAAGATGGAATAATGTAAACGTGCATGTCATGCTTTGGCTGTGAGAAAATGGGAAACTGAAATCGCATGAGATGACCCGGTGTAACCTCCTACCAAGAAATGCTGCTGGTTCGGCCCCCAGGAAACAAACATCTCTACCAGGATTAGGACCAAGAAGCTTGAACATGTTCATATTTTAAAATTTCTTTGGCTAAACAGAAAATCCAGACACTGCCCATCCCAGATAGCACTTTAAACTACATTGAACTGCCCATGAACACTCCTGGCATTCAGATACCTTTAACTGCCACAGTACTTTCTTACCAGCCATGTATTTGTAACAACTTCCCCCACCGTTGCTTCTATGTCAGAGCCCAGCAGAGGAACCACAGTATAATCAGCAACAGTTCGGCTCTGAAGGGATACGATTTTCCCAGCATTTTCTCTTATGACAGTTGCAATGTTAGATTCATTTTCATTACTAAAACCCAAAACAAGGAAACTCTTTTGGCTAAATAAACCTTCTTCTGTAATTGTAGAAGCATCAGGGAGGCAGTGACTGACAGAAGATCGCTTTTCCTCTTGCAGAGAAATATGAGTAGAATCACTGAAGGGCTGAACATAAGTAGTGTCATTAAAGGCCCCAACTTCGGACTTTGCAGCTTCAACTGGAAGAGAAAAAGAATTGTTTTCTAACCGATAGTTTATCTTAAAGTTTTATTTCCCAGCAAAGATATTAAGGTAACATAGTGCCTGAGAATTGTGCCCACACTTAAAAACTAAGGCTTTAATAAGTACACAATGCATGAAGAATACAAACCCACCCCATGTTCTGGGTCACCAAGAGTGTTAGCAGTATTACCATGTGTTATGAGGAAGGACAACAGCAATCGTGTTAGTTTCCAGTGCTCCTAGCTTACTAGAAACAAGCTGAAATTATGATGCTCTGATATTTCATGGGTGTGTCAGTTCCAAAACTGGTTTAGATAATTCACAATACAGAAAAATCATTAAGGAAAAAACAGAAGTAACAGGCCTAAACAGCCAAGCTCTTTACGAGGAAATAACTGTAGAAATCTAGTAAGAATACTATCCTACTACTCTTTTAAAAATTCCTAAAATGTTTTGTATTGAAATTGGAACTACTTAGCTTCTATGTAGTTTCCTTAAGAGAAATGATCAAGGACCCAAGCAAATGGTCATAACTTCATTTTAAAATAAGAAGGGCCGATAGAAGGGTAGTAAAAGAAAAAAACAGCTATATAAATAAATGTCGATAACTAAACTACACAGTCCCTAGCATGCAATAAATACTGTCAATTCAAGGCTGAAAGTTTAAGAGGTAAAAACAGTGCTTTCTGAAAATTCTAGTGGTGTCCTGGTGGAAGCTAACACTTTATGGTACGGATCAGCACGCTGCAGCCTAAGGGCGAAAAGGGCCCAGAGCCTGTGGGGAAGAATGGTTTTTTTACATTTTAAGATTGTGAAAACAGAACAAAACAAAATGGAATTGGTGAAAGAGACAGAATGTGACTGGTAAAGCCTAAAATATTTACTATCTGGCCTTTTACAAAAAGGTTGGCCGACCCCCACTTTATGGGGCTCCAACAAGCCTGGAAGCTCTCAGGGATTCTTCACTGACTCGTTTACACAGGCACTGAGCCCAAGTGCTTTACATGCATGATTAATGTCCAACATGCCATTAGGTTGATGCTATTAGTACATTTATACGCTGTGTTCAAGAGAAATCTCAGGTTTTAAGAGATTATGTAACCTAAAGTCACAGTTATAAAATGGCAGAAATTATATAAACCAACGCCGCCCAAACCAGGGTCCATAACACTGCTATAATGCCATCTCCTTATGTCTATTCTCTTCCCCATCAGATATTAGTATTTTTCCCTTTAAACAAATTATTGCCATACATATATAAATACGGTGTGTGTGTATATATATATAAACACACATATATATATTCAAACACATATACATAACTTATTCTTATTTAATGAAAATATTGCAATTGCTCTTATTGACACTCTGAAGAAGTATAGTTTTGTCTAGAGCATTAACTGATCGGGAGATTCTTTGACCCTCAGTTTCATACTACAATGAATAAGAAATAATAGTATACTTATAGAGATATATGAGGATGAGTAAGCTTAGATGGAAATAAAGATGGCATGCTACTGTAAAACATTCTGTGAAGTAGATTTAAAATAGCAATTCTTAATACAAAATGTAAAACCAAATTTTTTTGCAATTAAAATTGTCTCACAATCATAGCTAGGGGGAAAAAATTTGATGTCTATACATTGCAGGTGAGGTGGGAAGAAGAATCTCAAAGGAATTTTAGATTGCTACTATAAAACAAACTAGAAATACCGAGTCCTTATAAAGTATAAGCAAAATCCTGAAGTTATTAAGAAACTCAGAATAAATTAGTGTGTTCTACAGCAGTTTTTCCACTTATTTTGGTAGAACCATTTTTTTTCAAACCAACTTCATTCAGAAGCACACGGACACTTCTTGAGAAACCTACTATTAAAAAACTTTCTCAAATCTCAAGTAACTTAGCTTTAAGAAACTATAAAATGCTTGATTACATTCTTTATAAGGTGCTTGAGGATTCACTGAGACTTACTGTCACTAAATCCTTTCAGAGTCAGTAGATCACTCGCTGCCTTACAAAGACCTGAGAAATGACTCGCTTTCCTTCACTAAGTGCCCTTGCTGAAGGACAGAGCGCGAAACTGCTCCCAGCCACCTGTGGCTTCTTTCTACTAAAACACCGTGGGAAGTTAGGGCAATCTAACTGCTGGGACACACTAGTAAAGCATAAGCAGCTGGACTGACAAAAGCCAAGTTTGCAGTGCACCATGACAGTAAATAGTATGAATAAAAAAAAAATGAATACTGGAAATGCCCTTCTAGAAATATGGTAGGGTAGACATGCAGAACATTCACTATAAAACAATGGAAAATACAGCATGAAATATTAAAGACATCCTTATAATTGCACAGCTGAGATTATAAGAAAGCAAGGGAAACCCTTAAGGGCTAAAAATGAAATTGTATTTCATTTTTAGACATGAAAGGAAAGAAGGGCATCAAATGGTTACCCTGAAGTTACCTTGGAAACTTAGACCCTTAAAATGTAAGGATATCATGCAGAGGGGGACAGGAGTTAGGCCTTTGGTTTCACACAAATTGGCAGTGGGACAGAGTATACCCTAAGAAAGTAAGTCCAGAAACCCTAAAGGGAATTGCCTTCACTAGAAATGTGGAACAAAACCAATCAACTAACAACACCACAAACATCCTACAAGAGGAGATAAGCCGTATGCTCAGTTTGGCTTTGGGTCAAGGGGAAAACACAGCTCTCCTGGGAAGCTGTCATCAAGAACTGGTCCTGAAATTAGTTAAGGGTATACATTTACAGAAGCCTGCTGGTCCAAGAACATCCTGCCAATAAACTCACTCAGAGGTGTCCTAAGTTGGGAGATGCCTAGGCTCCGGGAAGATTTAGACATGAATCTTTTCTGGAGAAACAAGCTCTCACCCCAGGCTTCCAAGAATTCCCATAGTCCTAATAAGAATGATAAATATCATAAAACACATGAGAAAACCAGGCATTGTGAACAATAACCAAGAGAACTTCCCCACTCCTCCATTCAGATGTTGCAATTAGTTAAATGTGTTGTAAGAAATAAAGAACAGACTTCCGCCAATACGGAGGCATTGGTGGGGACGCCGTGCTTTCTCACACAACCAAGTTTAGAGACAACAAAATATTAGCAACAGAAAACACAGCAGAGACGGCTGCCATTTCCCAGCTCTGACCCCGCCCCCACATACAGTGTCACAACCCAGCGACCAGAGCAGCCCGAGCGACCCTGCCCTGGTGAACACATCAGGCTTCGCTCCTCACCCAGCAGCAGGAAGCAGGAGAGGGGGACGCCATTTCCCCACTCTGACCCCGCCCTGGAGGCCCTGACCCTAAGGCTCTGTTCTTCATACTTACTGGGCACGAAGAGACCGAAAATGGCTCAAGAAGATTTCAAAGCCCCAGAGCCTATAAATCTAAGCGATGAAGAAATAGCAAAACTCTCAGATGCACAGTTTAAAACACTGGTGATCAGGATGCTCACAGAACTGGTTGATTTTAGCCACAAATTAGACAAACATATGAAGGCTAAACTAATTGAAATGAATGGCAATGCACAGGAAACCAATAGTAATGGAAAGGAAACTGGGACTCAAATCAAAGGAGTGGACCAGAAGGAAGATAAAAATGACCTAACAGAAAAGGATGAACAAACAAGAATTCAAAAAATGAGGAGAGGCTTAGGAACCTCCAGGACATCTTTAAACATTCCAACATCCGAATTATAGGGGTACCAGAAGGGGGAAAGGAACAGCTATCAGTGGAAAACTTACTTGAACAATAATAAAGGAGAATTTCCCCAATCTGGCAAAGGAAATACACTTCCAGGAAATCCAGGAAGCTCAGAGAGTCCCAAAGAAGTTGGACCCAAGAAGGAACACACCAAAGCACATCATCATTTCATTAGCCAAGATTAAAATGAAAGAGAGAATCCTAGAAGCAGCAAGAGATAAGGGGACAGTCACCTACAAAGGAGTTCCCATCAGACTGTCAGCTGATTTCTCAAAAGAGACCTTACAGGCAAGAAGGGGCTAGAAAGAAGTATTGCAAGTCATGAAATCCAAAGACCTCCATTCGAGATTGCTCTATCCAGCAAAGCTTTCATTTAGAATGGAAGGGCAGATAAAGTGCTTCTCAGATAAGATCAAATTCAAGGAGTTCATCGTCACCAAGCCCTAATTATATGAAATGTTAAAGGGACTTACCTAAGAAAAAGAAGATAAAAAAGATGAACAGTGAAAGGACAGCAAACTCAGTTATTAACAACCACACCTAAAATAAGAGCAAACTAAGAGGACAGCTAGATCAGGAGCAGAACCATAGAAATAGAGACCACATGGAGGGTTAGCAACAGGGGAGAAGGAGAAGGGGGGAGAAGGTACAGAAAATAAGCAGCATAGATGGTAGGTAGAAAATAGGGGGGAGAGCAAGAATAGTAGGAAAAATATAGAATCTAAAGAACTTGAGATATGTGGTCATAAACTAAAGGGGGGGAATGCTGGGGAAGGGGATGTGCAGGGTGGAGGGGAACGAAGGGGGGAAATAGAACAACTGCAATGGCATAATTAATAAAATATATTAAAAAAACAAATGCCAATAAAATAATATTCCCTCAGAGTTTAGACCAGGGGAGTCAAACTCATTTTCACCAGGGGCCACTTCAGCCTCATGGTTGCCTTTGAAGGGTTGAATGTAATTTCAGGGCTGTATAAATGTAACTACTCCTTCATCAGGGGCAAGGAGCGCAGTGCTGCTGCCAGGTAGCAACAAGGTGCCGGGCCCGATAAAACAAGGTAGAGGGCCGGATTCGGCCCACAGGCCTTGTTTGTCACCTGTGGCTTATCTGTATGTCTAGAACTATCTTTTAAGGAAAAGGGCAAAATAAAAAACATTAACAGAAGATAAAGGAATTTCTAAAGGACACATTTCGGCAGGAAAGGGTACATTCCAGAAGAGAGGTTTCAGAAACAAAGAAATGGGGAGAAAAAAAGAGCTAAACATGTTGGCAAATCAAAAAAATATTGACCATATGGAACAATAATGACAATGTCTAATTGTGACATTAAAAAGGACAATAAAAATATTAGACAAAATCATGTAAGATGAGTGTCTTAGTGCATATGCAGGGGATGCGGGCAGCAGTGATGTTAAACTGTTACAAGGTTCTTGTATTATTCAAGGAATAGAAAATTCTAAATAACTAGATTTTAGCTAGGATGCACATTAAAATCGGAAAGGTAGCCACTGAAAGTATAAATAGTATACATAACTTCCAAATCAGCAGAGGGAAAGACAGAAAGTTTAGCGTGGGATCTGAGGCAGGAAGGGGCAAGCTCAATCCACCCAAAAGGCAAAAGTGTTAAAAAACAAGGAAGCATAGAAAAATGGGACAAAGTACAAAATCAGAAGATAGAACAATAATCAAAATATATCACCAATAACAAATGTAAATCAATCTAATTTACAGTTAAAAGAAAAGGCCAGTCAGAACAATAATCAAAATATATCACCAATAACAAATGTAAATCAATCTAATTTACAGTTAAAAGAAAAGGCCAGTCATACTAAATGCTGATCCACATGAGGCAGGGGTAGCTGTATCAGTGTCAGATAAGATTGACTCTAAGTTAAAAAACTACTAGAAAAATGAGAATCACCATGCAATAAAACTTCAAGTTTAAGTTTTAAAACCCAGAAAGTAAATTGGAAATTCTGGCACATGCTAAAATGTGAATGAATCTTGATGACATTAACTGAAGTAAATTCAGCCAGCCACAAAAGGAGAAATATTGTTTTTCTAATAGTTTTTTTAATATATATTTTACTTATTTTTAGAGAGGGGATGGAAGAGAGAAAGAGAGGGAGAGAAACATCAATGTGTGGTTGCCTCTCACACTCCCCCCATTAAGGGACCTGGCCTATAACCCAGGCATGTGTCATCCCTCAGTCTGCAAGCCAGCACTCAATCTACTGAGCCACACCAGGCAGGGCAAAAGGACAAATATTGTGTGATCCCATTTATATGAGCTATCTAGAATAGTCAAATTCATAAAAAAAACCAAACCAGAATGGTGATTGCTAGGGAGTGGGTAGAGGGAGAAATGCGAAGTTACTGTTTAATGGGTATAGACCTTTAATTTGGGAACATAATGTCTGGAATGGATGGTAATGCTGATGGCACAACAATGTGAGTATAGTTAACCACTGAATTGTACACCTAAAATGGTTAAAATACTAAATGTTACGTTATATATACTTTACCACAATTAAAAAAATTCAAAACCCCAAATATTCTATAGTAATATTTTGGATTTCAGCCCATTTGTGTGAAACCAAAGGCTTAACACCTGTCCCTCCTTAAGTTTTAAGGGTCTAGGTTACTGCCAAGATAGCTTCAGGGTAACCACTAGCTTTAGGAACTATTTGATGCTCTTGATTCATTATGTAAAGTATATGTGTCTAACCACTATGCTGTTCACCTGAAACTAACACAAAATAACACTGAACATTGTAAACTGTAATTGAAAAACTGAAAAAAAAAATTCACATTGTTACAAACTTACACTAAGTGATGCCAGATATAAAATAGATCAAAGTAGAACTCTTGAAGAGAGAAGAAGGGATCAAAGAATTCAGAACCCCTTAGCTTTGCCTGCCTAAAAAAGTTACAAACATAAAACTTAAAGAAAAAGGTTAATTTAAAATTTAAAAAACCTGGCAAAAATCACATATGTATTAATACTACTAAAGTAGTTCTTAATGACTATAGATACTAATCAACTACTCACCTACTGTTGGGATATCATTTACATATTGAGAGAGCAGGTCTTCATCAGCTTGCTCATGCTTTTTGGCAGAAGCACTCTCTTTCTTGGAGAAGCTGCTATTCCTTTTTAAAAGGGATGTTTTACTTTCAGGCTGATCTGAGACTGGAATTTCCACCTGCCTGTAACTAGCGTGGATGTATGGCTCTTCAGGAAGCATATAACCTTTGCTGAAACACTCTAGCAGCCACTGTGCTCCCACCACGTGAGGCCTATAAAATAGTACATAGTTATCTTTATAATTTAATACATTAGCTTAAATTATAAAGACTATCATCCCACTTGCCATGCAGTTTCCAAAATTACATGAACATGCAATTTTAAGAAAAATTATCAGAGTAGAAATTGGTTTGAATTAAAAACGGACAAAAACCTGTGGGCTGATTTATCCCAAAACTGCTTCAATTCATCATCATAATCTCCCACGATAACATGAGTTACATCTTCGTTGAGCTGGTTAAAACGAACTCCACCTCCGTTGTTAACGAGCCTTCTCAGTTTATCTAATTTTCTGCCACTAAAACCACAAAGATATATCTGAAAAAAAAATTTACTTCAGATCAATGCATGTAAGATGTTTTCTCTCACAATACACTTATTAAACATATATGTTAAAATCTACTGTGTATAAACAAGGAAACTCTTGTGTATGTTTTAAGACAAAAAAAAAATGAAGGAAAAAACCCAAGAAAATATATATTGAGGGGTATATTATGAAACTTTGATTTAACAATTCTGAAATTTTTATTTTTATCACTTCTTCATAATCCCATAGCATTTTATACCTCATAGTAGATACTCAGTAATTACCCTGATGCTTTAAATAAATGCCTTAAGTAAATTATCATCTGAGTATTAGTACATAGTAATTTCTAAAACACAGGCAGCTTCTTAAAGATCTTACTACTTGTGGCCCTGGTGAGGTAGCTCAGTTGGTCAGAGCATGTGCTGACACACCAAGGTTGCGGGTTCTGTCCCTGGTCAGGGCACATATGAGAACCAACCAATGAATGCGTATGTGGAAAACAAACTGACGTTTCTCCTCACTCCTCTCTAAAAATCAACCAATAATTTAAAAAAACTTAAACATCTTATTACTTGTAAAATTTAAAGTAATTATAGAATTGAGTTAAGTCTGAATTCCAAAACCCTAGGTTTAAATTTTGGTTCAGTTGCCAATGATTAAACCACATGACCATGGCAACTTACTTAGGCCCTTTAGACCAGTTCCTTATTTGTAAGTCAAGATATGTTCTTCACAGAGTTAAAACAACAAGAAAATTTAAGTCAAGAGGTGAGCACTGCTTTGTGGATAACACATGAAAATTTATTTTTAACTATATATGCACATATCTAATCAATATGAAAATCCTTTTCGTGTTTTGTTTTTAAAAAATTTCTTAACAACAAATCCGTTTCTAAGTGCATTTATGTCCCAAACTAAATAGCCTCCATTACTAGAATACATTTAAACAAAAATTAGAAATATATACTTCCTATATAAGTAATTAAGTCATATCCAGAATTAGTACATTCTAAGATAAAAGAATGTACAAGACACTTTCTGTTCTGCCAGTAAGTTGATAAGTTCTAAAATTTAAGGAAGGCGAGGTAATTTGTCCAATTTCCTTCCTTAACAATAGAACAGGGTTGAATCTGTGCTACTCTTTGGGAATGAACACACAGCCTATTCATGCTATAAGCAGGAATATATCAAGTAAGCATTTAGCTCTGGGAGACCCAGAACATACGATGTTTCCATTGAGGCACCTACAAAGTAGCTATTTGTGCACTAGAACATTAAATGGCCCAAGAGACACTAAACAAAGCAGTGGGTCTAACGATTAGAAATATACTCAAGGTCTGTGACTCTGAACGAGAACTTTCATCTTCTACGTCTCAGCCTCTAGATAATATCTATTTTAGAGTTATTTGTGGGAATTAAATAAGCTTATACATAACATATAAATAATATGTATGAAATGATTAGCACAGTGTCTAGCATATTATAAGCACTTAAAAATCCCTTAAGTGGTTCAGAAATTAAGTGATCTCAAAACATAGCAGATGGAAAATTTAATGTAGTTAGAAGGTTCAGAAGAGCTGAAAACTGATAATGGACCTTGAAGGATGACAGATGAAGGCACATCCCAGGCAGAGGGACCATGACAGTTAAAGGGTGGACATGGCCTAATAAATGCATCTGCTTAGCTAGTGTCGAGGGTTCATGCAGATAAGGAGCAAGTCCAACTCTGAATAGTTTTGAAAGTCAGACTAGGAAGTACCGATGTACACTGTCACTTCCTGCAATTATTACATAATCAAGACATACCCGACAACCATCTAATAAATCCTCAGGTGACTGAAAGGCACTGACATCCAGATTTTCTAGATTTTCAAGCATAGGATCCACTTTGCTATTAAAAATGGAGTTACACATCGATTCATTTATGCAACTTGCAGTGATGTTGGAAATATGGCTCACATCTGAGAGAGTCCGACCTGCTCAGTCAACAAAGATACAACCAGTTAAAAAGATGAAATGACTGTGATTACACACTTTCCTCTAGATTAAATTTTCTTATACACACAGGGCTATGAACAGCTTCCAAAATTAAGATTCAAGTGTTTTTACTGAAATCATGGTGGCAAGGCATGAAAAAGGAAACTAAAACTAAGGTACATATTTTATTTAAGTAAAATATTTAACATATTTATTTTAACAGTGGCTTGCTTTTAATAAAAAATTGAAGTTGCTGGCTTTGAGGTCCACGAAGCTTACATCTGAGAAAAAAGTTTATAAGCATTTGCTAAATTGCAGACATGTCACCTACAAATAGAAACAATTTTAAATTTCATACAAATATAGATGATCTGTAACAATTTCAGCAAATTAATAAAGGAAATGCATTAATAGTATTTGGACATCAAATTTTTTAAATTAAGTTTTCATTTTAAGTCTTTATCTGTTAGTATTCTAATTTCTTTAATCATCTTTTGCATTACATCAAGATATGAAAGGAAGTACGCATTCAATATTAAAAAAACATCAGGAGTTCTGGACTAATTTTCCATTCAGTTTGGTTAATATACCATTATGCCTAGAAGCAGAGCAGTAAAAGAGAGAATTCCCTACTATGTTTACTGATCCTATTAACAAATCAATTCTTACACAGAAAACTGATAGTTTAATTCCAATGAGACTTACTATCACCTGTGTTAATCTGGCCAGTAGGAGTTGAAGTATCAGGCATAGTCTTTGTTTCCGGTCTAGGCTCTATCTTGTATATGGATTCATCCTGACAAAAACCTTTCTCAACACTGTCAAAAAACCACTGCGTGGTCACACAATGAACATTCCATCGCTTGGCGCACTCATATTTCTGACCTATTATATTCATTAAGAAAGAGAGAAAGAGAAATGCAAAGCATTAAGCTCTGCCTTGGCAGAAATATTCAAATTTATGATAGGTTATTAACAAAATGAGACAAAATTAAAGTTACCAGTAATTACTCTTACTTTTAAATAAATATATGTGCTATGTGAGGAGGTATATCTCTTGTAAAATTATATAGAGACAGAGGCAACTGTAGGGTAACTGAAATATTAGACTCAGTTTGAGTATAGCCTCCATCACTTAATTTATTTAAACAAGTTTATCTGTAACATAAGGATAACTCACAGAATTATGTCATTTTAATAAGACTCCAGGGGTGCCAGAAGGAGAAGAGGAAGAGCAAGAAATTGAAAACTTATTTGAAAAAAGAATAAAGGAAAACTTCCCCATTCTGGTGAAGGAAAGAGACTTCCAGGAAGTCCAGGAAGCTCAGAAAGTCCCAAAGAAATCAGACCCCAGAACAAACTAAGGCACATCATAATTAAATTATGCAACATTAAAGAAAGGAGAGAACTTTAAAAGCAGCAAGAAGAAAGGAGACAGTTACCTACAAAGGAGTGCCTGTAAGACTCTCAGCTGATTTCTCAAAAGAAACTTTACAGGCAAGAAGGGGCTGGAAAGTATTTGAAGTCATGAAAGGCAAGGACGTACATCCAAGATGACTCTATCCAACACAGCTATCATTTAGAATGGAAGGGCAGATAAAGTGCTTCCCAGATAAGATGAAGTTCAAGGAATTCATTATCACCAAGCCTATATTATATTATATGAAATGTTAAAGAGACTTATCTAAGAAAAAAAGATAAAAACTATCAACAGTAAAATGACAATAAACTCACAACTATCAACAACTGAACCTAAAAAACAAAAACAAACCAAACAACTAGAAGAGCTACAGATCTATAGGATTGGAGATCATATGGAGGGTTATCAGTGGGCAGGGGGTGAGGGGAGAACAAGGGAAAAGGTACAGGGAAACAGAAGCATAACTGGTAGATACAAAATAGACAGAGGGAGGTTAAGAACAGTACACAAAATGGAGAAGCCAAAGAACTTACATGTACTACCCATGGACATGAACTAAAGGGGGGGAATGCTGGTGGAAGTGGGAATGAGGGCAGAGGGGGATAAAGAGGAGAAAAAAAAGGGGACATCTATAATAGCATAACCAATAAAATATACTTAAAAATAGACTACATAAAACTAAAAATGTCAAAATGTTTGCAATATAAAAAATACCAGCTTTGAGTAGACTACTACGTCATCAGATTCTAACTACAGTGCAGGAGAAATATGTAGATGGATAAATTAAATAAAAAATTGATAACTTTATTGTCTTAAAAATATTTTAACCATGTATTTGAAGCACTATCACAGAGAAAACTGAGGTCAACATGTAATAAACAGTAACATAAAATGGCTCCTTCTTCAATCTTGAGAGGAAATGGACTACCCTCAGAATTAGGAAACACCCATGGTAGTTATCAACTCTTAGAACCCTAGTATCGTAATTGGCCACACCCAAAATTCTGACTCAAGTACAATCACCAATTAATTTTAACATTTTTCTAATTATTTTCTTATGTAGGTAGCAGAGTAAATCACTGTATAGATATTAGATAATAAAGAACATTAACAAAATTATTTCTCATCAACTTGTATATATTTCAAGGGTATTGGTAAAAAATATTCTCCAGAATAGATATAATTATTATAGATCACCACCCTGGCTGGTGTGGTTCAGTGGATTGAGTGCTGACCTGCAAATGGAAAGGTGACAGGTTCGATTCCCAGCAAGGGTACATGCCTGGGTTGTGGGCCAGGTACCCAGCTGGGAGCATGTGAGGGGAAACTAGTCTATGCTTCTCTCTCTCACATCACTGTTTCTCGCCCTCTCTTTCTCCCTTCTCCTCTCTCTAAAAATAAGTAAATAAATAATAATAAAAAAAGATAGTTGAACACCAAAATTAATAGCAATTTTAAGGAATTCTACTCATTGGTAACATATTCTTCTTCATGGCCTCATTTTCTCCGAGTGTATCTTCAAGTTAAAACTTATAGTTCATTCAGTAGTGCTGATTCATTCAATTAAAAACTGAGCCAAACCTTCAATATGCCATTAGAAAGAAATGTAATTTAGCTACAACTATTAGTTTTCTTCTTACTCACCCAAATTTCTTGTCTCATAAGTATTTGGTAACTGTGTAGCAAATTAAAAAAAAATCAGTCCTGGTTAGTGTGGCTCAATGGATTGAGTGCCAGCCTGCAAACCAAAGGGTCTCTGGTTCAATTTGCAGTCAGGGTACATGTCTGGATTATAAACCAGGTCCCCGGTAGTGGGGCACATGAGAGGCAACCATACATTGATGTTTCTCTCCTTTTCCCCTTCCCTTCCCCTCTGTCTAAAAATAAATAAATAAAATCTAAAAAAAAAAAAAAAATCAGAAGATCAGATAATAAATTTAGATAAAACACTACTGGAAATTTTTGTTTTATATTTATTGAATGACCTGGATAATAAACACTAGGATAGTCATGTAATTTTTCTACAGATTGTGACCCAAACTATCCTTGTCAGATTTTTAAAAAAACCATCATACTAGGTTTATGACATATCAGAAGCAAAAGCTATTCTGTAAAAAAAAAAATCTTCAAATGTTAAATAGTAGAGAACATTTTGCATTTGTCCATTTAGGAAATACAGTTTTACCTTTTGGTTCTTGCACAATGAGGTGTGTACATTCATTCATTTTCAGTTGTCCCATGTATTGACCTCCATGCTTAACTGTGAGCTGCTGAACTCTCTTTCTTTCTGGGCCATCTAAGCCAGTCACGCAGATTATGCAACCAAGGAAAATAGGACATTTGAAGTCTTCCATGTTTACTTCGGTATATCTAGTTATTTTACTGGGGAAAACAAATGGTAAAAAGGAAAAAAATGAACATATTAAATATATCAGTAGTTTAAAATTTACCAGAAGAATGAAGACAAACAATATCACTAATGCTTTCCCCATTTTTTAAGATTATAATTACTTTTAAGAAAAAAGAACTCACAGGCACACTCAGAATTACACTAATTGCTCATTTAGACCGGCACCATGTCTCTAATAAAAAGCGTTTCAGACAGTCTCTCAAGCCTGTTTTAGGGGAAAACATTTCATTAACTCTAAGTCCACATGGCTAAAGTGGTGTATTTTCCAAAATTTTAATTTTGGTTGCCTAGTAGAAAAATGGAATTTGTATCCTTTTATTATACGATATAAACAATAAGCAATGATTGGGGACAGAAACCAACAGAGATGTCACAGCCAGTCTGCTGCCAGGCTAGGCAGGTGTGCTGGTGAAACAAGCTGGGAATGAGGGTGCCGACGTGGAGACATGATCAGGGTGTGCTGGCTGCTGTTGAAGGAAGACAGTAAAAATTCCTAGTTAATTCAAACGGTGGCACCTGGACACAGGCTTGTCATTCTAATTTTAGGGAAAACTCAGTTCTGTCCCCTGAAATAGGCTCTAAGCTCCACAAGGGCAGAGATGCTATCCTGTTTTGCTCACTATGTATACCTGCTGCCCAGCTCAGGCCAAGTACATAAAATGGGCTTAATTAATACTTATTGACTGATCACCTCCTAGTTAATGGCTTACATGTTTACTTTCAGCCGCACACATACCCACCGTGGGAGGAAACACAGCAGCCAAAATGGCTAATCTGCTCTCCGCCGTAACACATGGGCACAGTATTAAAGGATAAAGCAACATAAGAGTTACAGCCACCACACTGATTTCCCAACTATTTTACCTTTACTGCTGAAGAAAATTTTATTATCAAAGCAGTTTGTACCTTGTAGCTAAAGCTAAACCCACAGCCCATTCCACCTATCATTTGTCCTGCTAACAACAGCTAGATGCTGCTCTTGTTTTCACTGTAGAAAAGAATAACGACCCTGTTTTTGTCCCTGAATGACAAATCCACAGAGGATACCATAAAACCTACCCTGTTAAAACCCACAATAAGCCAGAATGACAGAATTAATCACTTTTTCAAATCTAGAATACATATAAATGTTTTTCTTACTTCTCTTGTGACTTCTCCCAAAGTGTTTTTACCCAAGAAGGAAGCAAAATAGGTTTCCTTAGATTTGCAGCAACTAAATACTTTTTGCTACCAACTTCTCCGGCAATGAGGTGTGTAACTGACATATTAAGGTCTCTGTATACGTATCCACCCATCATTTGCACATATTTATGAACTTCTTCCTGTAGTCCCAAGAGAAAACATGTTATTAAAACAAAAGCAAACAACCTCTCTTCTATTTTTGTACAATGTCCCATAAATATCTTGGTAAGTTTGAATGTACAAATGTTTCTTATTACCATAAAGTAAATAACCAAATTACTTTTTGGAAGTAAGGTAATATAAATTATAAATTGTAAAATAATTACCTTTATACATTATTTTCCTGTTTATCTCTTAATTCCATGAAGTTATTATACTATGTTGCTTCTCTAATAGATTATTTTCCAGACACATTTTAAAATATGTAAATTATATATAACATTATATATTACATATATCAGAATCTTTTTTAAAGATTAACTATAGTGAAAAAAATGTAATTCAAAAGCAAACTCACTGACTATATAAAAATGAGTTTCCTTTTAAAATTTAAAAAACAAAACACTTCAGCTAGCCAGTTTTCAATAAAAGATTCCCCTGTATCCAATTTATTAAAAAATAAAAGATATGCACTGATGTATATTGACTTCGTTATAAGTCATGAACACCAAGTGTAAAGTCTTTCAAAGTATAGTGTCATAGGGAAGAATTAAGAATGGAAATAGATGCGTTAATCATATTCCTCAACACCTCTCCACTTACCCTTTTGTCTTTTTCCAGGCTGGTACAAGATACAGTTACATCACACATAACCATGTTATAAACTGGATGTTCAGCCCTTGGGACACACTGCTGGTGGCGCATACAAAATATGACGACTTGAGGACCAACAATTCTGCAGCCAAGCTATAAGAAAAGGAAAAGCTAAGTAGAGAAAAAAACTTCAGTTTTATAAAATTACACTTTGTAATATTTACCAATTCTTTATACACATTGATGACCACCACAGAAAAATAACCAACTTGTTATAAGAAAAAAATAAAAACCATTATACAATTTCTCAGACATACTACTAAATACATGCACCCACATAAAAACAAATCCAACAATGCAAGCTATTAAAAGAAATAAGATCTAAGAGCCACATTCACTCAAAATTGCCACTGAAATTTTAATCTCTGAAGTGAACACAATCTTACTGATGGGGGAGATGAGGAACAGCAGTCTTATGGCAAAGGTGGCAAACACAAGGCCCACGGGCTGAATCTGGCCCTCCACCTTGTTTTATCTGGCCCGATGCCTTGTTTCTACTGGGCAGCAGTACCGAGCTCCTTGCCCCTAGTTAGGGAGTAGTTACATTTATACAGTCCCAAAAATATATTTGGCCCTTTGAAGGCAACCACAAGCCAGTGAAAATGAGTTTGACACCCATCTTATGCTATAATAATTAGGAAATGTCCATATATACTTTTCAAATAAAGCATCTATCCAATGAAGCAGTTTAAAAGTATGAACCTAAATAACTCCTTCATGAAATACTTCTATGTAACCAAAAATACCCATATAATCCTTGGCAGTTTCTACATTTGTGTTTTAAATACTGTCTGCAATTCAAAGTCTTCCCATGGAAGACCCACAAAGACTTCTCTTAAGATGCTGCAGGTTACTAAAAAAAAATGACCTTTCATTATCAACGATAATTGACATCAGCACATTCCAGCCAAGCTAAAGAGCCTACATTTGTGAAAGTCACCATGGCATGACTAACTTAAAAATCTACGTTGTAAATGATTATTAGAAAAAAAATTCAGTTTTTGATGCTACTGATTCTGACAAGCAGTGTTATTTCCAAAACGAGGACAAGACCAACAGTGCTTTTGGCAAAAGCGAGCACAGACCCTCCATAAATTGTACAGATGCTGCATCTACCTACTCTTCCATGTTTTCTTCTTTTTCAAACAAGAATCACTTCTTTGTAATCTGGATGGAATTACAGCCCGTTTACTTTTATTTCAATGCTTCTCTCTTGTCCAGACACCAAAAAAGTAATGAGTCAGTAGACTCTAGAATCAACAGAAAGAAATAAGATGGCTCACTGGTATATCAGCAATACTCATCACCAAAATGCTTCCTTTTAGCATACGATTTGTCAGAGACTATGTGTACAGGCACTAAAGTTCTACCTGCAGGAGCATGGAGGAGAGACAGCAAGTAACCAAGCATTACTTTGAGGTCTGTTCCTACTCTTCATTATTTCTCCCTGAAGTATTCTGCAATCACACTGAGTTTAAGCACCACAGAACTCCACTAAAATGCTTCATTACTATATGGTTCACTCGTACTAAGCAAAGTTAAATCCCCGGAAATATAAAAATTACATATAACAAAAGTTTATTGTAACATAATTAGCCTTTAAAAATATTCTGTTCTCCCCAAACCAAAGGTTTCCTCTGTATTCATAACTTGCATAACACTTCATGATCAGTAAAGAATTTATGTCCACTGATATAAAAAACCCACAAAAACCCAAAAACACACACATAAAGGAATACACTAGAAGTCAGCAAACCTTTTTGAGGTGATCAAAGACAACACCACTAAAAGGGTCACAGATATAAAGTGATCTATCATTCTCCTTTATCTTCAATGCCTCTTCTTCTGTAATAATCTGAAGATATTCTTCTGATTGGAATTCTTTTATTGACTGAAAGAGAAAATAAAATAAGATTGCACCTGATGGTCAAGATGGAGGCCTAGGTAAACATGGCTTGTCTCCTTGCACAACCACAGAAAAAAATTACAACCAAACTACAAAACAACATCACCCAGAATCACTAGAAAACTGAGCTGTGTGCAAGTCCGACAACCAAGGAATTAAAGAAATCATATTCACTCAGACAGGCATATTCAACCAATGGAGACATGGAACAGGCAGTCCCACTCCACATGGGGTAGATAAAAATTGGGAGGGATATCTTGGGAGTGAGGAATCCCAGCCCCACACCAGAACACCTAGCCCATGGCTCCAGTGCCAGGAAGATAAGTCCCTATAACTTCTGGCTGCAAAAACCAGTGGAGGTTGGGGCAGTGGAAGAAACTGCAGGATTCTCTGGCATCTCCTCTTAAAGGGTCCCCAATGGATTTAGGACTTACACAGACTCACCCCCTCTGGGCTTCAGCACTGAGGCTGCAGCTCAAAGGGCACCAGTGGCACATGGGGAGAAACTGAAGTGTCTGGGATCAAAAACTGAAGTGTGTGACATCAGGGTTTTATCCCCAGGGACTTGCCCTCCTGGACAAAAAAACAGAGGCCAGGCAACAGTCACTATCCCTTTTTTGAGCCCTTCCCCACACAGAGTCAAAGTACAGAGGCTCCTTCTTAGAGTACCTGAGACTCTGCCAACCTGGCTCACTGGGTTCCCTGTCCAGGCAATTACCTAAGGCTCCACCCCATCCAATTTCACAGGTGCACTTTTCTACAATAGACCATGCTCCTAAGATAGGGAGTCAAAAGAGCGCTACCTAATACACAGAAACAAACACAGGAAGGCTGCCAAATTGAGGAGACAAAGAAATATGGCCCAATTGAAAGAACAAAATAAAACTCCAGAAAAATAACCTAACAAAATGGAGATAAGCAATCTATCAGATGCAGAGTTCAAAACACTGGCTATCAGGATACTCAGGGAACTCACTGGGTACTTCCACAGCATAAAAAGACCCAGGTAGAAATAAAGTTTACACTAAGTGAAAGAAAGAAAAATTTACAGACAGCCAAGAGTGAAGTGGTTGAAGCTGAGAATTAAATCAATGATTTGGAACATAAGGAAGAAAAAAACATTCAATCAGAACAGCAAGACGAAAAGAATCCTCAAAATCAATGATAGGCTAAGGACCTCTGGGACAACTTCAAACATACCAACATATGAATCACAAGGGTGCTGCAAGAAGAAGAGCAAGATACTGATAATTTATTTGAAGAAGAAAAAAAAGAAGGAAACTTCCCTAATTCAGTGAAGGAAATAGACATGTAAGTCCAGGAAGTGCAGAGAGTCCCAAACAAGGTGGATGCAAAGAGGCCCACACCAAGACACATCAAAATTAAAATGCCAAAGGTTAAAGATAAACAGAGAATCTTAAAAGCAGCAAGACAAAAGCAGTTAGTTATCTACAAAGGAGTTCCCCTAACTAAGGCTGTCTGCCAGCTGATTTCTCAAAAGAAACCTTGCAGGCTAGAAAGGATTGGCAAGAAGTATTCAAAGTGATTAAAAGCAAGGATCTACAACCTAGATTACTCTCTATCCAGTAAAGCTATCATTTAGAATGGAAGGGCAGATAAACTGCTTCCCAGACAAGGTAAAGCTAAAGGAGTTCATCATCACCAAGCCATTATTACATGAAATGATAAAGTAACTTATTTAAGAAAAAGAGCATCAGATGTTCCAGCCAAGATAGAGGCGTAAGTAGAAACACTTCACTTCGTCACACAACCAAATGAAGGATAGCAACCAATCTAAAAACAATAAACCAGAAGCACCAGATAAAGCAAAGTGCATGGAACTCCAACAAACAAGGAGTTAAACATTCATCCAAATCGGTAGGAGGGGCAGAGATGGGAGAAGGGCAGCTAAGGGGAGAGGACACGCAGCAAGGTGGCAGATGCAGGAGAGGTGGGACTGGCTGAGAGGGATAGTGGCATGGCAGTGGACTGCACAAGCAAGGCAGGGCTTGCTGAACAGGAAACTAAAGACTCAAAGCTAGCTGTAAACTACTGCAAAGGTTTTATTGCCAAGGCGGGAGAAACTCCCAGTCTCACATGAGAGAGTTTATTGGAAAGTGGGGCTAGAGCAGAACCAGCAGCATTATTCCCTCTCTGACCCCTCCCTACAGAGAGCACCACCCCCTTACAACATAACAGGTGCACCAAGACAAAGAAATATGGCCCAAAGGAAGAGACCAAAACTCCAGAAAAAGAACTAAGCCACGAGGAGATAGCCAACCTATCTGATGCAGAGTTCAAAACACTAGTAATTAGGATGCTCACAGAACTGATTGAACTCAGCTGCAAAATGAAGGAGCAAAACAAGGCTACCCAAAGTTAAATAAAGCAAAATATATAGGTTGGTGAAGGGAAGGAAACCTGATCCATATCAGTGATTTGGAACAAAAAGAAGAAATAAACATCCAACTGGAACAGAATAAAGGAACAAGAATTTTTAAAAAATGAGGAGGCTTAGGAACCTCTTGGACAACTTTAAACATTCCAACATCCAAATCATAGGGGTGCCAGAAGGAGAAGAACAAGAGCAAGAAGTTACATCGTAATTGTATTACCCAAGAATAAAGATAAGGAGAACCTTAAAAACAGCAAGAGCAAACGAGTTACCTACAAAGGAGTGCCCATAAGACTATCAGCTGATTTCTTCCAGGCAAGAAGGGGCTGGAAAGAAGTATTTGATGTCATGAAAGGCAAGGATGTACATCCAAGATGACTTTATCCAGTAAAGCTATCATTTAGAATGGAAGGGCAAATAAAGTGCTTCCCAGATAAGGTCAAGTTCAAGGTGTTCCTCATCACCAAGCCCTTACTATATGTAACATTATAGGGACTTATCTAAGAAAAAGAAGATCAAAACTATCAACAGTAAAATGACAACAAACTCACAACTATCAACAACTGAACCTAAAAAACAAAAACTAAGCAAACAACTAGAAGAGGAACAGAACTACAGTAATGAATATCACATGGAGGGTTATCAGTGGGGAGGGGGAGAGGGGGGAAGGTTGGGAGGAAGGTACAGGGAAGAAGAAGCATAAGAGATAGGCATAAAATAGAGAGTGAGACGTTAAGAATGCTATAGGAAACAGAGAAGTCAAAGAACATATGTACAACCCATGGACATGAACTAAGGTGGGGGGATGCTGGAGGAATGGGGGGTGCAGGGCGGAGGGATGATAAAGGGGAAGAACAAATGGGACAACTGTAATAGCATGATAAATAAAATATACTTAAAAAACATCAAAACAGCAACAATTTCACAACTATCAACAACTGAATCTATAAAACAAACTAAGCAAACCAGCAGAACAGAAACAGAATCACAGAAATAGAGATCACGTGGAGGGTTACCAGTTGTAAGGAGAAGGAAAAGAATGGGAAAGGTGCAGGGATTGAGAGGTACAAATTGGAAGGTACAGAATAAGGAGGGGGATGTTAAGAACAGAGTAGGAATTAGAATATCCAGAGAGCTTATACATATTACCTATGGACATGAACTAAGCTGGGTGCTGGAGGAGGGAATGGGTAGTACTGTGTGGAGGGGAGCAAAGGGGGAAAATTTGGGACAACTCTAATAGCATAAGCAATAAAAGGTATTAAAAAATAAAAAGACTCCACCTGAAGTTAGTCACCTGTATTTAAACCCTATGAACTTTATCTTCAAAATCCAGCCTTTTCCTTATTGGAAGCTACCACCATTTCTCACCTAGACCTCTGTAAGAGTCTCTCAAGTGCTTCCTTCTCCCTCCCTTACCCTGAATCTATTCTCCATAGAACGCTAGCAATATTTTTAACAATATAAATCAGGTCGTGTAACTCTCTGTTCAAAAACTCCAATACGCCCAGGCTGGTGTGCCTCAGTGGATTGAGCACCAGCCTGAGAGCCAGGGGGTTGCTGGTTTGAATCCCAGTCAAGGCACGTGCCTGGATTGAGGGCCAGGTCCCCAGCTGGGGGAATGGGGGAGGCAACTGATCTCTGTATCTCTCACACATCAGTATTTCTCTCCCTCTCTTTCTCCCTCCCTTCCCCTCTGTCTAAAAATAAATAAAATCTTAAAAAGAAAAACAAAACCCAACTCCAATGGCTTCCCAGCACACTCAGAATAAAATCCACATTTCTTATGATGGCCTATAAGATCAGAGAGTCTGGCCCTTGCCTGTCTCCCTGTCCTTACCTTCTACCTTTCAACCCATCTTGCCTTTTCTCTAGCTACTTCTGCTTTCTTGCTATGACTGGAACAAGCAAAGCGTGACCTCATTTAGAGGCATTGCTCTTGTTTCTACTCCCAGGAAAACTTTCTGCCAGGTCTTCACCACAGTCAATCCCTCACTTCAGTGAGACCTGATCAAATGTCACCTCCTCTGAGATACCTTTTCTGATCGTGCTTTTTAAAATAAAAACAACCTTTTCCTCCAATCTATGTTATACAGAAAAATAACACTAAAAACATTTCATGATCTTGTTTGCTATCGTATCCTGGCACCCAGGTAAGTACTCAAATATTTTCTGAACAAAATTTAAAGTCCTTATGTTACAGTGATCATTTTAAAACAATTAAGATCATGTCACTGTTTTGATTAAAACACTAGTGGCTCTCCATCTCACTGAAAGAACCAGCCATAAAGTCCTTGCAAAGCCCTACAAGACTTCTTTACTCCCAGTCTGCGAAGCATCCCTTAATATTCTTCTTTCTCTATCTCTTGTTCACTAGAGCCACACCAACGTTGGAGAGACACTCTAAGCACTTTCCCGGGGGCCTGATTGTTCCCTCTGCCTCAAACCCTCATCACAATCATGTCCGCATGGCTAACTATCTCATCTCCTTCAAGTATACTGAAATATCTTCTCCATAAAGGATACCCTGATCACATGCTATCTAAAATTACAAGCCCTGGCTGGTGTAGCTCAGTGGATTGAGCACGGGCCTGGGAACCAGACAATCGCGGTTCGATTCCCAGTCAGGGCACATTCCTGGGTTGCAGGCCAATTCCCAGCAGGGGACGCACGAAAGGCAACCATACATTGATGTTTCCCTCCCTCTCTCCTTCCCTTTCCCTCTAAAGATAAATAAATAAAATCTTTAAAAAAATAAAAAATAATATAAAATAAAACTACAACCTTTGGGTCTCTTCCACCCCCCAACAAACATCTTCCAGACCCATTAACCTGTTTTGCTCTTTTCTCTTCTCATTGCACTTAGCGCACTGTAACATGCTGTCTAGTTTACTGATTTGTCATGTCTGATAACTATTTATTTCCTCCTGCTAAAATAGAATGTAAACTCTGAGAAAATAGCACTGATGCATTCTAAGTACTAGAACAGTATTTATCAGATGCGGACACCAATAATTATTAGCTGAACTGTAAGGAAAATCCTGCTACAACAGTGCCACTTAAACTTTAATGTACACAGGATCACACTGAGGATCTTGTTAAAATGCAGATTCTAATTGGTTAAGTCTGAGCCGAGACCCAAGTTCCACATTTATAACAAACTCTCAAGCCATGCAGATGTTGCTGGGTTCTGTGAGCAGCAAGGCTCCACACTACCCCGAGATTCTCCCATATTACACCGGACATAATAAAACATACTTTAACATTAACCAATTAACTAACAAATTATTTGTAACTAATACAAGACTGACTCAAACTTCTTCAACACACAAAGGTCTACTCTGATTAGTAGACAAAAGAATGCAACTTAATTTTCAAGAACAGCAGGTCTGTCACTTTCAATAGGAGCCTTAATAAATTTAAAGCTCCCCAAATATGTAATAAAATATGTAACAATGATATATCTGTGTTAATGGAGACTAAAGTAAAACTATGCATTATGAAAATGACTATTACTAAGATATAAAAGCGCAATAAATTAAAAGCCCTAAGAAAAAAATAAATTCTAAGCATCAAACAAGATATTTTTCAACTGTTCTTACCTCAAGAGCTTTAAGAAAATATTCGGAATTGCCTGATGACTTCAAAAACTTCACAAAAAGTGGCTGTTTGTCATTTCCAGACATTTTTGAACTGCCAAAATAAAGGAACCATTAAATTAACAAAAACAAAAACACATTACCCATGACGTTATATGCTTAAAAGCACCTATTTTTACTGCCCAGACAAGAATGTATAAGGGAGGACATTTGGGCCTTGTTCATGAATTCATCCACTTTGTTTGTAAGAAACGCTGGAATATGGGCAAAGTCAAGAAAAAATATGACAACACCAGTTCTTGCAAGTCAGAGAACGTAATCGATGTCCCTAAGCTGAATACGTGGAGGGCCTTTGCCAAGGCGCTCTAAGCCCCCAAGACGAAGAAAAGCAATTGCATTCAGCTAAGGGCACACGGAATGAATCTGTCTCTGCCGGCAACTCAGAGCCTCGAGGTCTGTTCATCCCTCAGTACACGGACTTTAAAATAAACGTGCAAGCCAGGTAGCAAGGTTATGCCCAGTAAAGGCCGGACGCTCTTGCTCCCCAGCTCCGGGGGAAAGGCCCTACTCCCTGCCCGGTCGGAGTCGCAGCCACACCTCCCGGGAGTCAAAGTCCCACCCGCCGGTTACGAGGGCAGGAAACCTAGGCCGCGAAGGCCAGAGAAGGCGTCGCGACCCCCATCTGGCGTGGGGAAAGAGCGGGGTCTTCTCTGCGCGCCTCACTCACCTCAGTGGAGCCAGGGGCCCTGGGGGAGGCGAGTGGGGGCGCGCGCGGCCCGCAGGAGAGCGGCTGGGGTCGGGCGCCAGCCCGGCACACACCAGCCGCACCCCGCGGCGCGCCCACCCCGAGAAACTAGCAGGACCCGGAAATTGCCGAAGACCCGAACTGACTTTCGCGCCAACCGCACGGACGCGCTCACCTCTTCCGGCGGAAGTGACATCAAATTGCTGCTGCGGTTGCGTTAGAGACGGGAGGCGTCCGAAGTTGGGGTGCGCAGCCATAAAGTGTGTTACCGAGCTGGTTTGGGGGTTGGAGGAAGACTCGGGATGGATGCCCTGGGGTTTAGGCTTATGAAGAGTATCCCCGGGCTCCGCAGGGAGGTGACCTAGCACCCACGGCTCAGGGGGTGAGGCCGCAGGCCAGGAGTACCTTAGAGGAGGTCCGAAAACATCGAAACATAAGCATAACACCAGGGGAAAAGAGCGCTTTCTCAATACATATTTCATACCTGCCGCGGGCCAGGCAGTGCACGAGAAACGGTATGTTACATAAAACAAGCCTCTCAGGCAAATAGTGGTATTTTCATTTTAACAGGTAAAATCTGAGGCTTAGTTAAATGATGTGTCCAAGGTCATACAGTTAATTGGTACAATTAAGATGTTAAGTCTTTCTAACTTGTGGACAAAAAAGGGGTTCTGTGGAAAGGAACCTCACAGGGTGATCTAATCATAAATTCCTAACCGGGCAGGTCCTGGAGGGTAGTCATGCCCCCAGGCATAAAGCTTTTGTAAAAGGCTTATCTTTACCTGAAGGCATCTCTGTCTATTGTTTCTGCTGTGTGGGTTAACACACCTTTGAAATGCCTCCTTTCGGACCCCTCCCTCCAATAGTGCCTACCCTTTAGGACCCCTCCTTATAAATTGTGAATCTTAACTATCCTGCAGTCTGATTGGGGCCTTGCTTTCTTCCACCTTCATATAATCTTCCTTACATCCCCTCCTTAATCTCAAATGCATAAAAGCAACTGCAAACTGTTAGTCTCTAGCCCAGGAAACATCTCAGTCTAGTGTGGTTTTGCTTCCAGGTGTATCCTGTTTGACTCAAACTAGGTTTTTACAAAAATTCTCTACAGGTTTGGGTATTCTTTTGTTGACAGGCTCCATGGACAAGTTTTTGGTTTTTTTTTTCTTCAATATAGCAAGAATATAATTACTGCCTACCAGAGCCAAGAGGGCTGAAGGGAAGAAATGGCCAGGATGACATGAATAATATACATAGTGCAAAGAGGTCTTTGCCAAGATCATCAAGAGCCCTCCCCACTCTTGTGCTGCAATGAGCATATCATCTTTCTCTGCAACTCTCTGAGAGTAGGGGAGGTCTGGTGCGGAGAGCCAGCCAGCAGCCATCCCTTAACACAGTTGAAACGGATGAGATGCATCTGCACAGCAGAGGCAACTGTGGCTGGACTTGCTGTCTATCTCTCCTTGCATGTTTGTTTTTGTGATTAATAGGCGGTGGGATTTTTAGACACTTGTATTTCAGGTCCAATGATCCACAAAATTCCAGTGAAGTTGTACAAAATAATTTCTTGGCCAGAGAACAAAGTCCCCCCCTTTAATGAAGAAGCCCCTGAATATCTAAAAGTTGATGGAGTAACAACCCCTTTTCTACCTTGGACGAAAATATATATCAAGTAGAATTAGACAGATAAAAGAAGCAGGACAAGTTAATTAACTATTACAAACTAAGCACGTAGAGATAATTGCCCCATGCCTAATTATAAGAACTTTAATAAAAATAATAAGACATCTAAAGCTCTGTACATACAGCTAGTTCTAACTGTCTAATTAGACTCTCCTGGTCAAAATAACCTTTGTTTAACATAACTTGATCTATGGAATTTCCTGTACTTTTTCTAGTCACCTCTGCATTGATCTTTTCTGCTTAATTGGTCATGCCATATACCTATTATGTTACAATCTCTATAAAAATAAAGCTTAAATTGAACTCTCAGAGTTCGGTCAGTCCCACAGAGGCTGGCTGTTCTCTGGAATCCAACCGGGTGTCTGACTCTTCATTCGTCACCTGCGCCGTCCATCCTTTGGGGACTTTGAACCCTGCTGAGGCTGGACCCCGGCAGTGTGGGCAGAAACTAAAGTTCAAGTGGCAAAGGTCATGGGGAGAGGAGCTAAAACAAGACTGCGGAATCTTGGATTGCTCAGAACAAGTGACAAACTGCTTAGATAATGTTTCTTATTTTATGCTTGAAATTGAAAAGCTCATGATTTTGGATTGAGTGATAATGAGAATTTAATGCCACATACCTGATTGTTTTTCTTTTTAGCACTGAAAAATGGTAATAAGCAGCTTAGGTCTAAGTCTGTAAATATACTCAAGCAAGGTGAGTCAGAATCAGTAACACTAGGGCTCAAGGTGAAAAAAAAAACCTTATTGTTATTGTTGGGGACAGAGTGAGAAAAGCCTTAAAAAAAAAGAGACAGAGAGAGAATGCCACTGCTAATTGTTAAGGAGCACGTCGGTCATGAAACTGTACTAATAATGACTATCTGTAGGGTACCTAACAGTTGACAGGACTCCTGCTTGCATGATTCCTGTTTGCTTTCTCAGCAATCCTCTAGTTACTAGAGGATTTCAACTCCTTAACAGTTAAGGAGTACTTACATTTACACAGTCCTAGAATTATTTTGGCCCTTTGAAGGTAACTATGAGGCTGATGTGGCCCCTGGGAAAATGAGTTTGACACCCCTGCTCTAGTATGTGGGTGTCATTGTACCATGTTGTGTAGATGGGGAAAGTGAGGCTGAAGAACTTGTGACCCTCCAGAGCCACAGAAGTGGCCGCACCTGGGCTTGAGAAGTGGTGGCTGACTGGAAACCCTGTGCCCTTCCCGACCAACCCCACAGCTTCGTGTCACATGCTGCCTGCCTGTCTCTGCATGAAGGTCAGCACCAGGGCAGGAGCCCATTCTTGACATTTCTGGGGCTGAGTGGACGCCTCATGAAGAGAGTCAGTCGTAAATGCCACTAATGAAGATGAGAAGGAAAAATGAAATCAGCCCCAGCTGGATTTGAATAGCAGGGGAGTCAAATTTGTCTTTAGAAAAGGGGAGCAGATGACAAGTTATCCCATCTGCATCTCCACGTAGGCAGAGGGCTTCTTCATCTAGTGTAGTACCTGGACCGGGTGCCTCAACTTCACCTAGGAGTTTGCTGGAAATGAAAGTTTGGGGGCCTAACCTGAGGCCTGCAGAGTTAGGAACTCTGGGGTGGGTCCCAGCATTCCATGTTTTCACAAGTCCTCCAAGTGATTGGGATGCACATTAAAGTTTGCTTGCACAGCAGTCTGTTAGCAAAGGGTAAAAGTGGTTATGTGGGTTGTGGTTAGTGAAGATTCTGATGAAATTGGGTAATAGGTATGATATGGACCCCCTCCCCCCATAGCTGCCTCAGAAGAAAGAGTTCAGGGATTAACTTTCCCCTCACCTCCCTGGCATTCAAAAGCACCTCTTTATTTCTTCTATTTCTTTTTTTTTAAATATTTTATTTATTTATCTTTAGATGGGAAGGGTAGGAGAGAGGGAGAGAAACATCGATGTATGGTTGCCTTTCGTGCGTCCCCTGCTGGGAACTGGCCTGCAACCCAGGCATATGCCCTGACTGGGAATCAAACTGCGATTGTCTGGTTCACAGGCCCGTGCTCAATCCACTGAGCTACACCAGCCAGGGCTTATTTCTTCTATTTCTTGTTATATTTTGCGACATAGATAAAATTTCTCAAGATAAAAAATATTAAAATACAACCCTGGCTGGTGTAGCTCAGTGGATTGAGTGCGGGCCTACGAACCACATGATTGCGGTTCGATTCCCAGTCAGGGCACATGCCTGGGTTGCAGGCCAGTTCCCAGCAGGGGACTCACAAGAGGCAACCATACATTGATATTTCTCTCCTTCTCTCCTTCCCTTCCCCTCTAAAGATAAATGAGTAAAATCTTTGAAAAGAAAAGTTTAAAGAAATTAAAAAACAGATTTTAAGGGCTTATATTTGTTTTCCAAGGCTATAAATGAATGAATATGTATAAATAAAGGGATTTTAATTTAAAATGAGATTATTTCATTGCTGCAAAAAGAGTTTGGAGTGCCAAACATTTGTTTAAACTGTTGTCTTCAGAAACCTGAATGGTAAAACAGACCTACTGAGTCTGCTGAGGTGAAGGGAAGAGGGGGTAAAATGGAACATTAGCAGCACATGTTGGTCCTGGCTGCATTTCACTAGTTATTATAAGAGAGAGATGACAAGCTCAGGGAAGAATTGGCTTGTTTGCAAGCAACAATAAAAAGGAATTTAGAAATCTAAAAATGTGAGGTTTTGCAAGGTTGGAAAAGCTAACTGCATCTAGGCCCTAAAAACAAGATATGCACCAGAGAACTAATGAGCAACAAATGGCCACTACAACACATCCACGTGGAAAAGATCTAGGGACCTCCCACCGACCTGGGTGAGCACTGTCTAATGAGAGAGAGAGAGGCAGGTATGGGGTCAAGGAGAGCAATCGGGCTTGAAAATTAGGTCGAGAGTGAACTCCAGTGTGGCCACTGTTGCAGGGAAACAGCTCTACCATGGCTTCCTCCTGGCAACTCTGCACATATCCACATGGACAGAGGGTGGAATTGCAGCATATCTGAGTCTTGGCCAAATACCTTGTGATCCTGCTAGAACAGGAGAGGACCCATCCTCTATGGAGGCCCCTATGGAGCTGCTAGCCAGGAGGCCACCTCCTGCTCGTCTTCCTGCCTGTTTTCCTGCCTCTCCTAGGAGTCTGTCCTCAGATAGCTTCTCCTGGCCTCCCTGGTTCTGATGAGGTATGGGCTTTCTACACCACTCCCCTGAGAATAGACCTGCAGAATACTAAACCACTTAGCTGCTGTCTCTATTTGGCTCCTCAGTGTTTCCCACAACTCACGTTGCAGCCCTGTGCATTTCAGTGTCATTTTCTTTGATGTGTGGGTCAAGGAATCAGGGAGCTGGCACTTTTGGTGTCTGCTTCTTCTTCTTCACTCTCTATGGAAGTAATAAACAATGTATGATAAATCTAAAATTGTCTCATGTGTCTTCAGTAGCCTAATCAGGCCCCACCCTTAACCTTGTATGTG